TCTCTCTCTCTCTCTCTCTCTCTCTCTCTCTCTCTCTCTCTCTCTCTCTCTCTCTCGTTCTCTCTTGTTCACACTCCCATATAACGAAGGCATAATTGTTCTCTTTGCACTCACTTTTACCTTGTTTTCACTTTTGTTGGCCCAAGCGTCGCAACACAGCCCACTTGAGTCCCTTTATCACTGAAGTGAATAATAAACATTGTTAACATGCGACATTCGACGCGTGTAGATGACTCCTAACACCCAGCAGTTTAAATCCAACAAAAACAAATATTTATCAATTCAAAGATCATTCATTCCTCACTCTCTGCATACCTTACAAATCTACATATTTTTTTCTTTTATAATATTGTTATGTACATCTTTTTTGGCACCGATAATTGTCCCATAGAATCAAATAATGATGCCAAATACACATATCCACACGCATTCCAATTGCAGCCAAAACAAAACCGTCGCCTGGAGATTCTTTCAAATAATGTCATTTTATTCTCTTTTTATTCATTTTTTCCCCCCAATTCAACATCTTGGACGCGCAAAACAGTCTCAAATGGTGCCTCAAAATCTGTGGTTGACTCACAAGTGTCTGTGCCGCAGATTCACCCTGGGGTAATATTTCACATTAGTTCAGTCGTACTAATGTCTCATAATTATTATTATGAAACATTTCATTTACTAGAATGAGTGGACTCGTTGAAACCCTTGTCTTTTATTTTCACCTTTTTGGCATTTTTATTTATTTTAAAAATTTTTTTATCATATCCATATTACCACCGTATCAAGTTTCTTCTAACAAGGGGACTCGAACAAACTTACGCATATAGGTAGAGTTTGCTCGAGACCAACTGAATTTCTATTATCATTGTTTTTCTTTTATCTTCATTTTTTAATTTAAATTCAATTAAATTAATAGTTTTGGCATTGCCAACCCACCTCATGACTCATTAATTGATTTTTGTTTTTTCAATTTTCAATTAAAAATTTCATTTCGGCAAAATCGAGAGACGAATTGGCAAAGATGCCGTGCCCGCGGTCGTTCATCTTTCATCGTCCATCATATGTGTTCTTCCTCTCTACGGAAATTACTTTTCGTGAATTTGTTCATTAGTAAAACTGACTGCGACTGGTTGTATTTTCCTTTTTTCTTTCATTATGGTAAATTCCAGACTGCCCGGCAGTCAGATTTGACAACAATGACAAATTAAAAAGGTAATACTAATACAATAGTATGTAAATATATTAATATTTAATCGTCAATATTTTTGTATAATAATATATCAATAACAACCGACTTGATGCCTTTCTTTTTTTCCTTTTTTCTTTATATCATGATACGCGATATATATCACGAGTTTTTTCTGTAGATATTTTTTTACTGGTAAAATACCATACGAAACGTAATGTGCATTACAGTTTACAGGTTCTTCATTCGCTTTTTATTTATTTATTTTTTTTTTCATAAATATTTTCTCTATAAAGTAACAAAATAATATGAACCTAAATGCAAAACAAAGAGGAAACATTATAAGCATTATCATCGGCGTATACACCGCGACGATTGTTACTTTCTCACTGAGTAGTAAAGTCTGAACAGATTTTATTTTGAATTATACCAATTGTTTGATATCGGCTTTTTATGCGGCAATCTTTCGAGTGTCGTTTAAAAAAATATTCATTCATGTTACAGTAATATTGCGATATATGATGAATAAGACAAAATGATAATTATTTCAAAAAAATCCCCCCATCAACACTGAAGGGAAGTGGCTACTATTCTTACTGAATTTGTCAACTTTTTGCTTGAAAAAATTCTTAATCAATTTGCCATTTTTAAAAATATTATTTTATTGACATTCACATTTTTGTGAATTTTTGTTTCCTCTTATTATATTCTTTAAACATTTCAAATACTATTGTCATTTTTCAGTGGCGAATAATCAGTTGCCAGGGAGTTGAATTGATCAACAAGTGGAATAATGTTCTAAGCATTACATTTTTCAACTTTTTTAATCTAGAAAATATCAAAATCATCTGTTTTCAATATTATATTTTGGTTTAATTTATTCGATCAAATATGTCAATGCAAAATAGCAGCTATTTGTTGAAAAGTTAAAATCGATTTGCTATACAGACAATTTTTACAAAAATAAAATAAATCAAATTGAGGCGGCGAAATTTAATGAAAATTCCAATCTGAGAAATGTTCAATAGTATTTTCATCATATCACCCAATGACAATTGATATATTCTTCAATTCAATGAATCTCAGTGATGTAGAATACGTGGCTTTTTGTCATCCATTGGATGACAGTAGGTACCGTCCCACTTGGATATCTTTAAATAAGAGAATATTGTGATTTTCTCCACCATGTGTAGTTGGAAATTGACAAAACTTCATTTGAGATTGGACGATTTGCCGTCGGTATTGGCTCATATATTCATTATTCTCTGCCTGTTGTCACTCAGAAAACCTCAGCATCTGGATCATTCAATGCAGCTGCTTGCAGTGCTAGTTGCATGCTCGGCTCTGTATTTCGTCGCTTCATTTTAACCTTGGTCTTCTTCAGCATCGTGGCCTAGGAAGGGACAGGATCATGGGGTGTTGCACAAAGGATATTTGTTTTCATAATCATCATCTCCTTTCTCTCTATTGTTTTCTTTTTTTTTTTTTTCCAGTCAACAAGTGGTAATGATCAATAATTGGTTCCACGAATGGCAAAAAAAATTTTTCGCAACAATCATTAAAATAAATTAAATCATTTCGAATAATAGTGCATCTGAAAAACGATGAAAAGACGGCAAGTTTGAGGTTTAATGAACAACGAAAAAGAAAATTATAATTTGTGAATGGACAATAGTACAAATAAATGAAAAAAGTACGTAAAGAGTATAGATAAATAAATGTATACTATATATAACGTACGATGAAATAGAAAATCTTGCTTTACATTTTCACATATGCGCGCGTGTGTGCGTGTATGTGTGTGTGTATGTATTTTGAAAAATTGAAAACAACTTACGGAAGAATTTGACATGGCTAATCCATATGAATACGTACAGAAAATACGATTATTCTCGTATGTTAAATGTACACATGTATCATGGCTTAGCCGAAAACTAAAGACTGCATTGGGGGGGGGGGGGGCATGGGCATCTCTGTATTTGGGTAGTTTCGTATTTATATAAATGACAGAAACAAATCTGATCTGCATATACANGGGGGGGGGGGGGGGGGGGGAGCATGGGCATCTCTGTATTTGGGTAGTTTCGTATTTATATAAATGACAGAAACAAATCTGATCTGCATATACAGTACTTTCCCCATTTATCCTATTCGCTGATGAGTTTTTGGAGGATATCACCATAATATAACAATAGAAGCGAAATTTTTCTAGAGATTTCCTATGGGCAGAAATTGGAGAGAGAGAGAGAGAGAGAGAGAGAGAGAGAGAGAGAGAGAGAGAAAATTCTCATAAAAATTTTTACCAATTTGCTCACATTTAGGAATCTCTACCAAAAACTCTGCGATTTTTATTTCTCAATCTCAAATGATGGAAAACTAGAGGATCAAGTATAATGCATATCTACGCATATGGAAAATGCTGGAAATAGAATAGAATAGAATGGTGAATTATGGAATGGGAGTATGAAAAGGGCATGCATTTGGGGAGGACTCGCTGGATCGACCGGTACGGCTGAATTAAAGGTCTGCCTCGTCCGAAACTCCCCCGTTTTCATTGTGCTAAACATGCGCATGTACAAAATATACACGCGGCTAGCACAAAGTGGAGAGCCTCGGCAGAGATCACAGACCCTCTTCCTCTTCCTGTCAGTCATCATATTTTCTCATTAAATAATCTCATTCTTATGAATTCAATGAAATTTAATGAATTCATTGGTCAATTTTTTTTTTTTCAAATTGTAGATTTGATGATTTACTCGTCCGTGCACTTTCCCCCCTCCCCATTAGCGGGTAGAATCGACGGTTCAGTATTGCGACGCTTGATCTTATTTTTCTTCAACATGGTAGCCTGAAGTGAACAGAGGAATAAGGAAGACATTAGTAGATTTGCCATTAAGGGAGAATGTAAGAGGGAATTCTTTTTTAGAGGAGATGGTGGATATTTGCATGCAGTTTTTCTTTTCTTTTTTTTTCACACACATATGGCAAAATCTTGATGTAGGTAGACATATTCATCTATACTAATATAATGAGTCATTTTTATAAGATTCAATATATATTACAATGATGGCAAATTTTTGTCTACAACACATGTCTACATACATGGGATTTTTGTTCTACATGTATCAATCAATTTAAATATGACAATTTCTTGAAAAATGAATCAACTACTCTTCTACAGAAATATAAAACATATATTGATAATATTTATTTTCTTGTAATTATTCAACATGCGACAATTATCAAGTGAAACGTGCTATCGAGATTCGATTAGAGTAATAACTTATCCAATGAATGAATCAAGCTCATTCTTGTCACTTTAATCGTACTCGAAACTCAATAATATAATAGATTTTCTACAAAAAAAAAAAATGAAAAAAATAAAAAAAATAAACAAAATCAGGCATAAATTACCTTCAATGCAGATTTAAGGACAACAACATCACCAGGACTTTGCACCCATGGTTCACCATCCACTTGTACTGGTATGTCAGAATTCAGGTGAATTTTTATATGTCCTCCCTGGGAAGGAATTTAGTGTAATTCGTAACTGTAGAGTTATAGAGTTAATTTATCAACTAGTAGTTTGAAAAAGAAAAATAATAATTACCTGTGCTATTCTCATGGCGGTACGAAATCCCGATTGTATTTGACCCAAGTGTGCAACACCGGTGACACCCACAACCTCGAGCATACCATCGTAGTGGTTTGGCTTGTGAAATTGTTCCTCTCTATCGTCTCCCCATGGTTTTGCACCAGAGCCCCAGCTAAATCATGATATAATAGGTGCATATTGTAGATATGATAGACTTGATTGAATAGATAAAAAATAATTACCTCAATATATTGAGTATAATAATACCCTCCAATTGTGGTAAATCAACAAGTTTACCGTCCACCTCAAGACGTATTTTTCTCTGCAAATCTCTGCAGGTTCGTCCAACCATTTTCTTCAGTCCCATTTTAACATATACGGATTTGTTACGCAATCGACTATTGAATTTATTTGGATTTTCTTCTCTGGCATTGTGAAAGTCCAGACATAAATCGGCATCAATACCAATGCCAAAGTAATTGTTCATGACAAATATTTGAGAATTATCTTCACTCGATCCGGCTCCTTGAAAAACAATATCATAACTCATGGAGAAAAATTGAAATAGTTGATAAATATCAACTCACCACCAGTATCGTCTTGCTCCGCTTGAGGATGAAAAACCACTGTCCATCTGTCGAGTCTTATTTCATCAGCATCAATAACATCGCGCAATAAATTTAGGGGATCCTCACCACCAGTATAGCCAGGTCCCCAACAAAGGACACGAGCGAGATCATTGCCTGTGCCAAGTGGCACAATAGCACATGCTGGCGATGAACATTCACTGTCTTGACCAACATTGTCCAAGCACTGCAAGACCCATCCTATCGTTCCATCCCCACCACAAACTAATATCTTATAGTGTCTTATATGACGAAAAACGTACAACCTGTACAATTTCAATAAATTAAAGTATAAATAACCATTGTCATCTATTATAGACTTTAACATATAATAATTTATTATTAATTAAATTATTCAACACTCACCCAGGTAGTGGACCACCATTATCCAAGTCAAACACTTGATAGGGATTTAATAGTTTACGAAAACTCGAAATTAACTCTAATCCCTGGCATCCACCTGATTTAACATTGACAAATACAAGAAGTGGCTGTACACCCGGAGGTATCATGCTCGGTTCAATACTCGGCAATAGCATAACTAACAGATGTTTATCCTCATACTGTGACTCTCGCAACAGGTACAATGCTCTTACTGCTTTATTAGCATCTTCATATATAATTACCATGGATCCATACTCGTAATATATCGGTCCAATCGACGAGAATTTATTTTCTATAATTAGAACAATAATTTATGTCCTTCATCTATTATTATTTATAACAAGACGAAAGGATAGAAAATTCAATTAAATTAAATTCATTATTCATTATTTATTATGAATTTATTAATGTAAAGAGCAACCTTGTACCTTGGCCCAACAATTCAATGAGTATATTTTCATAATTTTTTTCATTCTCATTTGCTGGCAGATTACCAACAAAAAGGGCTAAATTAGGGCCGTGTGGATCCTGTTTCAATTGCAAATAAAATCTCATGAGTTCCATCTGCCTAATGGAATCTTTGCCAAGTTGTTTGACAGCATCCCATGGTTTTTCCGTAAGTTCCAATACTTTTTCCGATACTAAAAAATGCCAAAAATCAATCAACATTTTTTTTCCTCATCACCTAACTGAGAGAGGCAATTATATTTTCAAGATACTAACCACCACGATCTAAAAGTATTTCGCTGCACCGATAATCCTCACAATTAAAGTCCTTCACACCAAATCGTAGAAGTGCCTCTTGAATAAGATCCGCTACGGTTGTTGAATCATTAACTGGAATTATACAGAATGGATCCGCTATCTGAAGTTTACCGGGATATACCCGAACTTCACCGCACTCCTCATCCCTAGGAAAAAAAAAAAAAAAAAAAAAAAAAAAAAAAAAATTATTATACAAATATCCATCAATTGGAGATTAAATACCAAATTTCAAACTTACTTGTATCTCAAAAATACCGCACGACGTTTACCTTCTCTTCGAGTTAAATTTAACACTGGGTTTGGATCACATAGTGGTGTCTCTTCGGTGGCATACAAATCGGTGAGATAAAAAAGACCTACAAAAAATATTAATTTACAATGAATCATTGACTAATTATTAATGAGCCAGTCCCGGTAATCAAATGAATTTTTCAATTTCATCTAATTTCGAGTTAGAGAATTGAAAATATTTCATATTGTCGCGACCTCAATCTCTTATTATTATTTATTTTTATTTATTTAAAACAAATAAAATACAACATACTTGGATGTACTTTTGTAATGTGAAACGCCCTAAGAGCTGACGTGAGAACCTGCTCAGTGGTTGCTAATCGGGACACCGATATAACCCGGAATATTTTATGCTTGAGAGACATATTACCATCGTACACTTTAATCATTTCTGCAGTAAAGAAAAAAAAATTATTACTAAAATCCCCATTTTTTGGCAAGACAAGTGATTATTAGTGGTTAGAAAAAAGAATGAATACCTTCATCGCCCCTTTCCTTATCATCCTTCTCTTTAGGAGATCTCGGATCTTTGCTGTGTGCACTACTTGACTGTGTCGGCTCATCATTATCTCGATTCCTCGTGTCACCGCTGCTGAATTCCTCGGATATACTGCGTGCTGTAAAAAAAATAGTTAACATCAATAATTAGGCAAATGTGTAGCATCTTAATATTTTGAAAAATTTCTCACAATTCTACATTATTTCTTGGCCATTATTAAATATTTATGTAAAAATGTCTGTCTCTCCAAAACACATGGGAATAATTGTTGTTGTTTTTTTCTTACTGAGTGTATTTATCCTATAATATCCGTAATATTAATAAAAAAGAGTTGGGATACTTGGGATAATAGAATAGATACAGAATCTACATCGCTTACCATCTTTATACAACATGAATACGTAAAGAGAGGTTGCAATGGCCCTGGTAAGCACAAAGCACATGCAGATGGTAACTTCTTGTTCAACTTATTCATTTATCTCTCCCACATATGTAATACAATGATGACATCATAGTTGCTGAGTTCATGTGAACAACAGCATCGCAGATTATTCTCATTATTTTCTTGGCAATATATCATCAGTTCTGCAGCAGTAGCAGTAGAAGTGGAAGGATGGTTGCGCTCATGCATGCAATGAAGCAAACACAAGTTAACATGTTAAAACATCAAATATGCGATAACCAACGTGTCAACAAAAGGGGCAAAAGAATGAATAAAAAAAGTCGTCTGGATATTGACGAGTATACTGTTACAGTTTAATGAAGAAACTTTTCGACAAGTACATATGGACGGACACTCACTCTGAGAGCAGGCGTAAATGCCCACGCATTATACTTGTCAATGCCACATTATTGATTCACAACAACAGAAAAGAAGCGAGATGGAAAGTACAATATGGAAAAAATAGGAAAAAAGAAAAAAAACAAAAAGATTTAAAAAAACAAACAAAAGGTGAGCATGTTGCCAATACTGCGTTCATCATTTTGAGTGCTATACAAGAGTGTGTCATGCGAATCTGTATAAAATAATAAAATAAAATGCTTCGGGGGTATTTACACAATATGCGATAATAGACAGGGACGGAATGGAATTATATAAAAAATATATGAATTATTGATTGTTTCAATATATGATGAAAGGTTGATTACAGTTATGAAGTAATGGAAATTAGAAAAACATAAAGCTAATGATGGACATGCATTATCTATTACGAATTCCGTCTATGAGATGAACTGGTCATCCCCTTTTTCCACTTTCACTGATCATAATGACATTGCACATAAATATCTTTTTGAATACGAGGTATACATGACGTGTACTTGCTGGCAATCATTTACACACGATACACAAACTTGAATAATAAATAGTTACATTGGCTGACTAATTTTACGGTAAATAAAGAGACGAAAATAATATTTTCTCTTCGAGATGCAAATTAATTTATTCGCCAATTTTTTTCAGTCGATATAATATCTTATGCTCACAAACATAGTTGCACGGCCATTTTTTTTTTTTTTTTTTATAATATTAAGGTACCTCGAACATAAGGAGGGGAAGCATGACAATTTCCATGGCAGCTACGTGGAAAAACTAGTGAAAGGCGTCTGAAAGCTTCGGCCAGATGACCAGCCGCACCAATTTGTTCGCTCTCAGCGAATTCGAATTGCTCTCCGATGTTATCTTCAACTAATAACAAGTAAAATAATAATCCGAATTGATTCAATTTTTTTTTCCTATTTATCAATCCCTTGTTCTTTTTCCTTTTTTTTTATTGTATTGCCTGTAAGTTGAGTAATCAAGTGGTAGAACAAGACAAATCAATTGAAAAATTTCCACATTGATATTTCGTGTAAATAGGCAAAATAATACCTACGCTATTCTCCTTGGATTTGAAGATTATTTGGAGAAAAAAAAAAACAAAATCAATTGTTATTATGTCACTTTACCAAGTAATTCTCGTCTAATTTTAAATTTTGTAGCACTGCTACTCTCTTCCCCGAATTTCGGTATTCAAGCGTGTAATAGTAAATTTTGTAATCTTAATTCAGGCCTCCTTCCAAGCCTCAACCTTTTTATTTTCCTTTTTTTCTTCTACTTCCACTTTTCATTTGCCTCGTGAAAAACGATTTGAAAAAAAGTGTTCAAATGCAACCCTATTAGCAGAATTTAAAAAATGAGAATGAAAAATGGCTGAGGATACATTGAATTTCAGGATGTGGTTTTTTTTTCTCATGCTAGAATTATGAAAAATTTCCCTCTTGAAAAGGTCCATTTTAAAAAACTTTAAAATCCATTTTCAATGAACAACAACATTATCCAAATGAAAATGATATAGAGAATTATTTTCCTTGATGACCATAAACAGATATGCGTATAATTTGATGAGTGAGATTGGCAAGCATAATATAAATGTGGCATTTTTAAGAATATAATATTTTGGCTTTCCCCGGAGGAAACATAAAAACACAAGAGAATTCAATTGGATAATATTTTTATGAATGAAAATTAACTCATGTAAGATATTTCAAAGGTATGTGCAATGAAATGTTTGACAACGCGGATGTGATCGTGCAATGATACATTGGACAAATTCAAGTTGATTGAGAATTTATTGTAATCCAAGATTAAATTATGGAAATAATATGGCCACCTCCTAGTGTGACACACGGCTACTCAATAAATTACTTGCACAGTATGAAATGATATTTCTCAACTGTTGAAGATGTGTGAACTAAAACAGTGAAAACTTTGATTTTACCTGAAACATGCTTATACCTGACAGTACAGTAGACTATTTAACTATAATCACGTAATGCATCACAATGTAAAGAATATACAGTATACAGAAATAGGCAGTATACATTCATCAACGAGCATCGGGTATTTTTCTAAATGTAACATTTACATTGAAATAATTATTATAATTGATCATTGATTTGTGATTGTATTTCGTGACTAAATACCGTATAAAAATGATTTGTAACTTTCTACTAAAATAATTGTGTAAACTTACGAGTGAGAATATCTTTTCGGCGAACTTGTACACCAATTATTGCTTCCATTGGTACTTCTGTACGTGGTATACTGATTGCATACGGTGGCAGATAAATTGGCTCCAAATTGCCAAATGTACATTCTTGACGCATTAACTTGCTCTTCTGACACCAAGGATGCGACTGGAATGTTAACAATTATATATTTACCATATATCGTATTAAAATATTTATTCCTCTTTTTTTTTCTTTCTTTAATTGGAATTATTATTACCGTCATGCCACACCACTCGCAGCGAAATCCAGCCAGGCACTCTGCGGAGAAACAACTTTTTTTGCAAACGGCGCATTTTGAATTATTCGGTAGATTGCCTTCACGCCAGTGATGTGTATGCTTCACCGACGCCAAGTCCTTCCCTGGTAGGTACGTAGCATTCTCTTTACAGTCGGCAACAGCAAAGTCCTGACAGTCCGTGTGCACATAGTATTCGCAAACTGCACTCGAAATAAATATGTACCCTTAATTTTTATTCCTAATAAATTTATAATATATTATTTATAGAAATCAAAGTTTTCTTACTCTCACAGTGTACGGACGGAGATGTATCCTCGAGACGTTTTCGACAGACATTGCAAAATTTTTTCTTGTGATGCACCGGTTCGGACCAACAATGTGCAACCGGATTCTTTTATGAAAAGAATTATATTTTTTATTATACAATATAATAATGATTAATTTTCCGAGTCAATGATAAATTGACCGGTCTGACCACACCGCAAGTACGACTACTTGACAAACTTGTCAATCAGTTGGAAACAAGAAAAAAACTAGAAACTAGTCAAGAAACTAGCTTTATTATTATGTGTTGAGAGAGTAATATTTTTCCATTATATACAAATATATATTTGTTGTTTAATATAACTGTGTAATGTGCGTATACCTTAATGAGGCTTGCCGCGATGCTGGAGCAGGGAGACACGACGGCCTTGAGACAGCGTTCGTGCACCACGAAGTTGCAAACTGTAAAAAATGCCAAATAACAATCGAAATGATTGAATGTCGGCCAATGTTGTAAAGGGGAGCAATGATTGCATAAATCTTAACCATTACCATAAATAGAACATTATTAATATGACAAGTTCACCACAATCGATTCAACGATGAATTGTTGAGCCAAGTGTTGGCTACTACAGTTGTCATCAACTCAATGTACAACACAAAAGACGACAACATCCGGCTCAACATCCACACGTAGCTACGTGTGCCTTTCTCTATCCCGCCCTTATCATTACCAGCATAACAACTTATTCTCATTTCTCATCCTCAATACGAGAGGATGCATCAAGTCCAAACAAAATATTATCACCATTGCTCTATTTTTTGAACAATAGTTCTCATGGGAGATTGTCTCCACTCAGCTCCTCCATTGTGAGGTGTGAGACGACGTATATTTGCACGCCACTCATATATATGAGAGTGTATTGTAGTGGATGGATGGATGGATGGATGGAAACTCCTTATCCGACATAATCACTAAAATAATCTCCAGCACTACGATGAGTAGGCAAATGATGAAAAAATGGCAATCAATAGCCATTTAAATAAATTGAGTAATAAATTCCATCAGAGATCCTGATAGACAATGAAAACTAACAACAAAAACAAAACCAAGCGCACAATTGGTCCGTCTCTGTGAATTAAGACTGAATAAAAAAACCCTCTGCAAGTGTTTTGTATGCTTTTCAACAATGCCCTTGGCCCGCCGCCACTGTTGCAGATTGTGCATACATTTAGGGTTCATACCGTAGTATGTATTCATGTCTATTCAGTCTCTGTACGTGCATTCTGTACTCATTTCTCTCCCTCATTTCATTCTTCACCAGCCTAATATGTGTATGCATTCTCCAAAGTAAACATGAATGAAAATTGAGTGCTCATTAACTGCATGGCAAACGATAAATCGATAAACATATAAACATACAATCTTACATTATATCTCTTTTAAGATTAAGGCCACACGTACTTGAGTGCAAGATAAATTAAAAGGAATGAATATTGAATATTAATTAATTTTTATTTTATAATTATGAGACATGGTGAGCAGCCCAATTTTTAATGATTGAAGTTTGACAATTGGACTGCGCGTCCTGGAAATTTTCTCCCCGGTTTTTATTCTCTTCAAGTTTTTTTTTTCCATTCTTATCCTTTATGCTTTGAAAATGAGCTCTGAGAGAGACAAAAGTCTCTCTTGTCTCTCATATTGTCACAGTGGACATAAACAAGAAATAAGACTCTGACTACTCGAGGAAAAGCTGCTAAACAAGCGAATGTGAAAGAGAGAAAGTACAATCTTTGGCATAATTTTGGAGTAGAGCCTGTGGCCAATGCTGATGATGTGAGCCGAGCCTCTCGCCTCTCGCCTCATCTTTTTTCAGTCACGTTTTTCACCCCTCCTCACTTTTGCACCCTTCTCTGTGACTCCTGGCCATTAATACCACCAGCATCGTTCTCGTTCTGTCTCCTTTGTTTCCTTGTTTCCTTCCCCCCATTCATTCTAACTCACTCAGTCCATTCGCCTAGTGTCCCACCATCTCATTTCATACCCCAAACGATCAATGCCTGCTGCTCAAGAGACGTGCACAACAACTAGCGCCCTCTGCAACTATCGTATCCACCTATTTCCATATACCTATTTATTATTATTGTTGCACTGAAGAATGCACCACTGTGCATGGAAAACATATCCACATTTCATTTCTTACCCCAATGCGCCAATGCACCAATTTCAAAGCAAGGAAAAAACAACAAGTACGCAACAATATCATACAATAATTTAATTTTTATCCTACTTTGCTTTGCTCCCTGATGATGATGATGATGATGATATAAGCGGCAGGAAAGTGAGTACATTTCCCTTTTTAGGGTAGAAAATACAAACTTTTCTTTGCAGACTTGCACCTCAGGCGAGGAAAACATGAGTTTTACTATTATAATTTGCATTATATCATATTTGTGAGCCAAGATGAGTAAGATTTTCCATATACATATGAGTTCAGTATATTAAGGATGATCTTACTTGTCACTCGTCGAACCGATTGAAAATTATTTCCGTTTGTTATTGTATGCGTTATATTTGAGGGTGGGTATATTTTCGGAAGGGTTTGCTTTGCCTAATTCTTTGCTAGCCAACAACAATTCCAAAAGGGAAATAAGGGGTTGTTTCCGCATATGAAAAGGGAAAACTTTGTAAAATGTAAAATTTTGGTAAATTTTTCTACATTATATCCAAAGGGTGGCTACAGCCTTTGAAATTGCTGGTATTCCTGAAAAAGTTTGTTAAGATAAATGGGATAAATGAGGATGAGGATGGGGATGGGGATGCGAATTTGTCATTTTTTTACCTTCGCAGATGTAGCCCTGCCCTATGATGCCCCAGAGCAGGTCGGTGCAGCTATGGCAGTACGTAGGCTTGTGAAATGTTTTCTGTCGAAAGCTGTGCCCGTGGCTGACCGGTGTCTCGGTCGAGACCGACGCCATGTTCCCCGTTCCACCGCGGCGCCGTTCACGCCAGATTTTCACCGTGAAGCTACGCAGGGTGCGCCGCGTGACAACATTACATGACTATGTTATCTCGAAACCGTACGCGTACATATCGAGGCCAGTGGCACTCCCGTTTAACGAGTTCAACGTGCCTAAGGCGCATTTCCGTAAGCTCGCCTTATCCCTCTCACTGCACAGCTGAGCATAACTATTTTAGTTTTAGTCGTCGTTGACGCTTTTTACATTTGCGATCAGCAATATCATTCAAATCATTGCTGAATTTATTACTATTATTATTTCAACTTTATCAATAAAGTTGTGGGATTATTATGACACGGTACGCGCATCCGTTATACCGAGCGTATCTCAGTATGTATTATAATTGGTGACTTGTTGCATTGGTTGCTCTTCACCAGCACTGATGAGCGCTTCCTCAACAATACCCAAGCAGCGCACTTGCTCCAATGCTGCTGCTGCTGCTGCTGCTGCTGCGGCTGCTGCTATCGCTGGTGCTGCTCTCCTCCTAGTGCTATGCTCAATTAAAGGGGGCGCACAATCACGATAAACCTCCTCTCCCCCTCTGCCGCTCTCACCGAGCTTGCGAAAGCTCTCCGGCCACCCCGAAGGACATTTGCTTGCGCGCGCGCGCGCGCACGCTCACTTTGTTTCCTCTTTTTCCCTTATTCTTTCTCACTCATTACTCACTTCATCTGTACATTTTTTTTTATTCTCGCTATTCATATTGACTTTTTTTTTTCGTCCCCTTTTTTATGTTTATAAACGGCTCTCCATCCACCCTTTTTACCCACTCTCTGATCTTTTATTTCTTGTCAATCGACATTGGATTCAATCCTTATTATTTGCCTGTAGATGTTTTTCATAGATTTTTGTGGGCTCACACAGCCCCCCAACTACTGCAAGACTATTAACCCGCGCAATGACTGATTAATATATCATTATATTCAAAGGAAAAATAAAATCACTATCACTCAAAAGCAAGCTTCTTTACCACTACCACTATTTGATTAACACCACAGGGGAGAAAAAAAAAATATACAAGTGTATGTCCTCGGACTGTTCTTAACACTCCTCCAGCGCCCAACGCGACTTACCCAAGACGTCACACACGTACTCGTTTGCCCACGCGCCGACGCCGTTCACAGTTTTACCCTGGCGCATCATTTCCCGCGGCGTCTATATTTTTTACCCATAAGATATAAACGATTTAGTTTTTGTTTTGCTATTTGTTACACCGATAAATGAATTTTCCTTTCACTTGTTAGTTTTGTCACAATGTAATCGATGAATTGTCTTTGTCAAGATAATTGCTGATTAATTGTAATGATGAACTTTGGGCTTTCGTTGCTGTGGATTTTTTACACCCTCGATGTACTCGATGATTCTCATACATTATCGAGTAATCGAGATGCTAGGTTTTTATTGCTGATGTTTGATAAAAAAAAATATTTTATTTTATCGATCAGAGACAAAGAGAGAGAGTTTGAAAATTTTCTAGGGTTTCATTTCTTGTTCATATACAATTCTTATCCAATTTATAATCATACACTCTATTGATTTGTATTTGCACGCGATGTCTGATCACTGGTATAATATATCACTTGTCAGTTGACTGCATTATATTCTAAGACACGTTCAATTATTCACTTTTATTTTTCTTGTCGGTTTAATGTGACTGAATTACATTGACCAAGTGATAGGGGTTTATAGTGAATTTTCCAGATGCGCGCGCGCGCGTCAGTGTTTCAACCAAAGATTTCTGCGCACGCTCAATTTCTTTTTCGTGATTTTTCATCTCGATCATTCGAGGCTGTTTTTTTTTGCTTTTTTGCTTTCTTTTCTTCCATTTTATTAGGGATACGTACAAAGAACATAACACATGGAAACGGTTGAGACCTTGAATGTAACCAACTTTATTAATTAATTATTCATGTACATCATAGTGTGGACGGAGCATAAAGCATGACCTATTTTTGTAGTTTTTCATTTTTACATTTTAACAAAGTATAAATAAAGGAAAAAAATGAACAACTTTGCACCTTTATGAATTTTTTTTTTTTTTTAATATGTTGGCTTTATAGATGTTAAATCTCAAATATTTTATTTGTTCACCAGTATATTATCATTGAATAAAAAAGAAAAGACAGAAATTTAGAAAACGATAGATTGCTCATTAAAGTTGATTAAAAATGGACTAAAATAATAATTATATTTTTATAATAAAAAAAATTGTTGAATTACAGTAGAGTGAGTGGAATGTTGAAATTTAACAATATCAATGCATTAACGGGATGAAGAAAAATTGCTAGTTATGTGTGATGTCTTCACGTAACATTAATGGTTGCATGGATTAAATGCTCATTCGTGAAGATTGAGAGATCATTATTTCATTGTGTCGATTATCCAAGTCCGTGATCCTCAAAAAATCCCTGTGGTGTTTCCTCCTAAAACAAAGAAAAACATCTGATTCTCTCAATATGAAAAATAAATTTTGGCAATATAATTAACTATTCGAAATGGCCAATATGAATAGGGTATCGAGTTACTTTGATGCTGCATGATACTGAATGAACATCTTTAATGTTAAAATTAAACGAAAATATATTTAAACATCACACGTACCTACTTTATTATAAGATAATCTTCTTTTTCGCAGCTTCAAATGTTGAACTGAACCCTCATCATACGACAGAACTAATTTATCTTCAATGTTACTTGATAGCATAAAAAATCATTATTAACTAACGGTTCAAAAACCATAAATTTACAATGCAATGCATAAGGAAACAACTAATTTCACATGCCCTTCATCAATTGTTTGATTCTTATTAAACATTTGGTTGTTGGCAATAAACAGCGATTCAATATAAATGTGGATTATTAGTTTTTAATGGATATATCAAGTAGTGACTCGCTGATGTACTAGAAAAATTATAATAATTATATTACGTGGATGAATAAAATCTTTATTGCAACTCTAAGGACTGTGCATTTTTTTAATTATTATATATAAATTGTTAATCGACGTAATACATTGAAATGTGCACATGAGATGATGATTGATACATAAAAATCTATGAAATCAATTTTATTCCCATCACTTTTCAATAATAGAATTAAATCATTGAAATAAAAATGTATCATTATGGGAATAAATTTAAAAGAAAAAATATTATTTTCGTGTTTCTTGTACCAATTAAAAAAATTTACAATTCCATGTACAAATATTTCCAAGTGGCTAAAATTAACGATTATATCCTATTACAATTTCACAGATGATCCCTATACGACTAATGGCAAAATATATTATTTATGCATTTATACAAAAATATTTTCAATCCCATTGATTTCATGATCGCGAACAAGTCAATTTTTTCCCCTCAAAATGATTTAATTGTATTGAATTGTTATTATTATTATTATTATTATTATTATTATTTGCTAGAAATCAAGATGTGCGATGGACATCATTCGGCAGAGATGATGGTTTGGCTGAGAGGTTGGTGGTATCGGTGATCATATTGATGGTGAGGGACACAGAGATACGGAGGTACAGCTTTACAAAAGCCCTATTTCTCGTAGAGCGTCGTCGACAGCTTCATCCTTCCACAAACAAAACAAACACTAACTAGTTTTCTGTGCGTGCGGTAACCATCTGTCTATTGATTCTTTAAAAAAACTTGTCATGTCATCGAAGCCTGAATTACAGTAGAAACTAACGCCACATTTTATTACAATAATAATTAACAATATTCAGAGTCTGTTCATTGAAAAAACTCATTGAATGATTTTATCAAGTATAACATACATGCTGATTAATTGTTATAATAAAGAAAAATATGTGCAATGAATTACAGTAGAATTATTATGGCGGCAATATTATTAAAGCCTCGATATAATAACATACACTGGATTTATTCATTTTCAAAAAATAATGGAAAACATACATTTACATTAATCGACGCCCTACTTTTACATACAATGACATTTCTAGAGTAAGTATGAATCAACTGTGATGTTCTAGACTTCCGGTTTGTATGGTAATAGCAAGTTTCAATGAATGCTTAATAAAGCATTTGACATTTCAGTGCCAATTCCATCAACAATAATAAAATGGAACAACAGTATATTATAACGAGGAATCGACTAGAGAATTTTCCAAAGTGACAAAACAGAAGCGAAAAAGAAAGAAAAAAAACCAAATGGCAACAGTGGGGGTATTGTACTATTTTTCATAAATTCGACTAAACAAAATTCTTCAATTGAAAATCAATTGTTATATTACACATTATTTTCATCATCATCATCGGTGTTAATTTAATCTATGCTTCAATAAATTTATATAACATCAATATATTAGATCTCTGATGAATTGTACTATTCGCAATTAAACGCAATTAAACGTATCCAGTATAGCTGTTACAGCAAAAAGTTTGAAATGACGACTGATGAAACTGGATGATTCACCTTATTCAATAATGAAAAATCATAAAAATGTTAATCCCTCTAGAGTGCATATGATTTTATAATATGATAATTTTACAAATAATTAAGCTCTTTAGAATTAATATTGGCATCGAGGAAATTATAAGCTCTCCTGGCAAATTCATAAACAAATATAGTTCTGTGCAATTCGTATTTCAGTAGTCAAGTGCTCAGATTAGATTAGTTTATTTCATTCAGACTTTTGTAATTGATAGACAATAGCCAAATTTTGCGAGATATTCGAAAAAAATTTGTCTATTGTCTCATATTGTTATTATCTCATATTAGCATTTCGCTACTGATTTTTGTAAGTATGAAATTATAAAAGTTTTGGATCTGAATATTCAAAATAAATTTGGCATGCTTCTAGAATTTTTACGACTAATACTACTATTACTATTGATCACAGGAATGCGTGCAAATATTTTCCTCATCTTTTCCACTTTTTGTTTTTCCATGCATTCGGTGAAACGACGCATTTGGCCCAAAACATTGTGGCATTACAAACGCTGTACTAATTGTTTAATGTAATTAACACGCTCATTGCACGTGTTCTGCAGCATTATTTCTCATTGAATTTTTTTTTAATGTCAATTTTAACATTAAAAAACCCTTTTTGTAATAACATTCTTCTATTGGGGTATATTCAATAGATCGTCCATGCCAATGGGACAAATAAATTGAAAGCATAACAATATTTATAATTTATGTAGGTATATGAATAATGAGAAAACTTTTTAATATGAATCACAATCTTTTTCGTAGCAAAATCCGTCAATATTTTTTTCACTTACTTTTCAAAATTATTATGCTATATACCTATCTTAACATATTTTAATGCACTCTTATCAATTCTTCCCCCCCCCCTCCTTCCCCAATTTGTTGGCACATTCTACCCTAATCATCCAGTTATACCTCCATTGATTATCCTATATTATAAAAGTACAGGTAATATGTATTATGCCTCATCTCTTCATTACTTAGAATTAATCGTCTCTCAGCGCCATTGTACATTATTCCATTTAGGTATATGATTTTCACGTCTTTCATTGAAGGTAAATAACAAAAAAGAAATAATAGCAGACAATAATTATTGTTAAACAATCACAACTCTAGGGGTACATTGCCATAACTAACCTCCTGAAGTAAATCCTGAGCTGCAATAGCCTTCAATACATTCTTCTTGCTAGTCTCTTGTATCTCTCCACCTACCAGTAGCTCGTCCAAGATGAAATACGCTTTTTCAAAATTGAAAATGATGTCCAGCTCGCAAACCTGAATTCAAATTCCGAGTTATAATTAAAAATGGAAAATAAAAATTATAATAATTATTTTGTTTGTAAAAAAAATTGATACTCACACTGCCAAAATATTTATCTAATAATTCAACATATCTGTGGATAATCTCAAGTGTAAGCAGTTCATTGTCATTTTGTTCAATAGCACAGCAAAAATACAAACTAGCGTATCTGAAAAGAAAAAATAATATAAAATTATTGTTATGTATTGGGTATTATGCAGTCCATCCATATTGAGAAAACTTTTGTACTGACCTCTTATATACGACTTTAACATCTTTCCACTCAAGAAAACTTGACATTTTTGGCTTTCTAGCTAAAATAGTCGTAATCAATTCTCGGGTGATTTTTTTCTTGAGCTTATCTGGATGAGCGACGTACCATTTTTGCAGTCGTAATTTACCTTGACGGCTGAACAATAGCATAAACTGCATCTGAAAGCAATTATTACATCAATGATACTTTTCTCTCCAACATCAAGATATATTGTCAGTAATGATGTTAAAAATTGTTCAACTTTACCATTTTTCCAGCAAAGACAAATTATTCAACTGCAAATCAACAAAAATGGGGGAATAGTACTTCGGTTAGGCAATGTTATCTATTATTATCCTCGATGCACACAAATTATCCACTAGACTTTTTACAAATTCATATTCATAAATATACAGTAAATCATTCTATTTATTGAATTTTCATTGAACAAGGGAACCAAGGGTACATGTGTCTAATTATCGATAATTATCACGTCTCATATAGTATAGAATGAAAAATCCGTTTACATATATTATACAGACATAAGAGAAAACACCCCAACCCCACTAAAACAGGTGCAAGTGGGCAGGGCCGCCACCGAGAGTCCGAGACCGAGAGTTGCGAGAGGAGAGCTGAGGTGTCATGTTCCTTCCCAATGTTCCCCACCCTTCCCCTCAAATCTCAAGGCAAATATCCAGTGGACGATGGTAAACGTCCATTGGTCTAGACCGTCCAATAATAAAAACTGTTAAGAACCATTTCTAACCTCACACTGATGACACGTGTTTTGTTGATTCGGAGCATTCGGAGTCCAACTGAAAGGTACATAACAATAACAAAAACAATGCACAATACATTTTAACGGTAATTAGTAGGATAGAGATGATAAAAATAAATACGTCAGACACTGTTAATCCAGCTGTTTATTAGCAAAAAATAAAAAAAATACACAATAAAAATGATTTTACATAATTTTCAATAATTTCAGGTTTTATTCCATGGAATCAGCAATATTTCAAGTATATGTGAGTGACATGATAATAAGGAGATTGTGATTGACATTGTCTGATGATTTGGAAAATTTCATCTGTTTTAATATCATTTCTCCGACACTATCGTTCACCGAAGATAAAAAATATGGTCTACTCACTGTCTCCGCCGTCTTCAGTGAAAGGAATGATATCTCTCAATCGTGATAAATTCACGTGTGTCGTTCAAGTACCCTCTTTAGAATTAAAAAACATTAGTTATAGTGAAATAATGCCAGTCGTTAAAAAATATCTATTGAAAATGAGACATTGGAAATCTGTACAACAAATCGAAGACCGTCTAGTCATTTACCTCAATCCTGAGATGGTAGAAAAAATGGAAGATCTAGAGGAAAACGATCGTACTATTTTATCCAAACATACTGATGTAATTGAAAAACGACAAATCACTATTAATTATGAAAATTGGACTGCGGATACCATCCTCGGTGCTATAATTCCCGAGGACATTGGAGTACCCAGTTCCTTCACAAAAGTCGGCCACATAGTTCACTTAAATCTTCGAGAAAATCAATTACCATTCAAAAAACTAATTGGCGAGGTGTATCTAGATTTCGTAGCTCAGACAAAAGTTGTTGTTAATAAAGTAAACAACATTGATACAGAATTCCGAAACTTTTCAATGGAAACACTCGCCGGCGATGGTGATACAATCACAACTGTTAAAGAAAATAATTGTAAATTTACTTTTGATTTTGCCAAAGTCTATTGGAACTCGCGATTAGCAACGGAACATGGAAGGCTATTAGAGTATATGGTAAAAGATGATGTTTTATATGATGTTTTTGCTGGAGTTGGTCCATTTGCGGTGCCTGCAGCACGAAAAGGCCTCACAGTATTGGCCAATGATTTGAATCCCGAATCGTACAAGTGGCTCAGAGTCAATGCTACCGATAACAAAGTCAAAAAATTGAGCTCTTTTAATAAAGATGGTCGAGATTTCTTGAGGGAAGATGTTAAGCAACATTTATTAAATCGAAGATACAATGATTCGCCTGGCTGCGAACACATTGCCATGAATCTTCCAGCTTTGGCTGTTGAATTTCTCCATGTGTTTCGGGATTGGATGGACAATGAGGAGACCAAGTTGATGTTGAAAAATCCCCCTCTCATTCATTTATACTGTTTCGTTAAGGCTAGCAAAACTGATGATGTTAAACAATTGGCCAAACAACTCATTGAACAGCATATTAATACACAACTTTTACCACCATCAGTGAAGACAATTCAATATGTTAGGAATGTTGCACCCAATAAAGAAATGATGAGGGTATCATTTTATTTGACTCAAGAAATTATGACATGTCAAAAACTCGAAGAACCAGCGATTAAACGACCGAGAATTGATCATGTGCTTGAAATTGTAGGTGAAAATGGGGAAAAACAAGGTGGGAAAAGCAACAAAGATGAACAATGTATTTAAAGTGCCAGTGAAAAAGCCATCGTTGAAAAGTAAAGCATCGAATAAGGAGGAAACTAAAAAAAAAGTGAGTTTTTTTTCATTATTTACTGATGAAGTAATTTTTAACTAATGAACATTGTTAAATTCATTTTCTAGGTGAATTTCAACAGTCTAAAGAGAAAAAGCACTGACAATATAAAAATTATTGACCAAAAGTTGATGAATTTACGGAGTAAAGATCCTGGAATGCAAACGACAATCCCTATCCAATCACCATTGCCATCTAAAACAGTAAAACTAGGCAAAAAAGACAAAGTACAAGCCAATCTCAACGACCATGCTTTGAAACAACTGAAAATTTAATGGGAAAATGTGTTGATTAATTTTGTATAGAAAAAAATGTGGGTATATGAATATATGTAAATTCCTAAAATTAATTCAAGTTTTTTGTATAGCCAGTCATTGCCAGGAAATTCTTTATTACAATTGACCAAGTGAATATTGAAAATGAGAATTGGGATTCAATGAATCGATATCGTTGTCATGGAGTTGATATATCCGTTCAATTTGGTGAATTTACTACTTCTGTGGTGCTGCTCACTGTATCTGTTGGTGGAGGTGATTCTTGAAGGTCCAACCATGGTAAACGCTTTTGGAGTTCCAATCTAGGGAAAAATAAATTTTATTACACCGGCACTCAGTGTTTTGTCAAGTTATTACATTGACATTTGCCACAATAATATTAATTACCTGTACTTGGGATGACTTATGGCATAAACATATGGATCTAAACACGCCACAAATTTACATGTACAGGCTGGAATCATTGTTACACCAGGTGTTAAAAGACTCTTGTTGCCAAATGCACCAATCATAGCCATCACTCCATATGGTGTCCACGAAGCGACAAATAGGAAACAAATAGTAATTGCAGCCTGAAAGTATTATTATTGTACATAGGATTATGTTGATTATGATGGATTTGTTATATTTTCCAAGTGTCACATAATTTTACCTTGGCAATTCGTATTTCGGCCGATTGTGCATGACTACTAGCATTACTTCTGAGACTCTCGACATTCATTTTTTTAGCCTGCTCCCGAAGGCTCTTCTCATGATTCACCACATGACTGACAATTTGACTATAATAAAAAATAATGAGCAACATTGGTATAACGTATGAAAATGTAAAGATGGTTCCAACAAAGTAACGGGTCTCGGCTGTGTCAGTGAGATAATCAAAGGTGCAGGTTGTGAGAAATCCTTCTGGCGCAAATCTTCCCCATACACCCATTACTGGCATGAGGGCCCAAGGTATCACATAAACCCAAATAAATACGATGAATAATAATACATGTCCCTTGGATAGTTTACCATCCAGAGGCCTTGCAATTGTCCTAAAATCATAATAATAATAGTAATAATAATAACAATAATATAAATATTTTATTGAAAAATTATAAATTTTATTATTATATGTGCAAAAATGTATTTGCCTATATCTGTCGAATGCTATAGCTGCATTTGTAATCGCTGCGCCAATTCCTGAAAGTGTTCCCATAACACCGAAGATTTGGCATCCAAGATTACCAAGAGCAAATCCATTGTGATAAGAGTTATAAATGAAAATAGGAGTTTTCAACATCATCATAAAATCGCAAAATGCTAGGTTGATCACGAACATATTTGATGGAGTTCGCAGTGACTTTGCCCTGCCAAGCAAAAATTCAATCTATCCCACACATATATATTTTTTTAAAAGTTGCCAAATATTGATATACTTACACACCAAATATCCATATGACCAGACCATTGCCCAGTAGTGAAACAAAAGTAAAGGCTATATATACGAGAGCCAAAAGATAATGAAATGCGGGCTTTGGTTCGGGATAGGCCAGCCAATGCTCCGGTATATGAATCAACTCCTCAGGAGGTACATTCCAGGCCAGCAAACGTGGCGCACTGGCTGGAAGTATCCTGGCTTCCCAATGCAAGCTGCTGTCGTTCAGCATGCTCAACAAAAAAAGTCGCCTATGCACTGATGGCCCAGCCCCGCACCTAACCGACTTTTTTTTTACACTATCATTCGCTTTTATACCTACTCTATTTCACCGCAAATCCGATATTACGGATTTTTCTTCTTTTTCATGCCCCCCTCATCATCACATTTTAGTCCCCTTAATTCAGTTATTTCAAGGCTTCCTGCCGGCTTAGCCAACAGATAATCCGTTATTGCCCTCGGTCGACGAAAAATGGAGAAAAAGTTGTTGTTTACGGGAAAATTGGAAAGAATAAAAAGCAAGAAAAAACCTGACGACTTTTCGATAGTTTTAATAATTTATTTCACCTCATCATCGTCGACAGTTGCTCAAGCCATTTTAGCTTTCACATTTAATCCCTGCGTATTCAGAGGTATTCAATTTTTTACTACAAAGTGGGAAAATTTTCGCCGAAACACACTACAGGCTTTAATTATGAAGAATTATATAGTCGGCCGGAGAGAGAGAGAGAGAGAGAGAGAGTTGGATTTTGAGTTTAAATATTAATTTAATACATTATGGAGATAAAATGGTATATACATTTGAGAGGAATGAGGAATTACTGTTGCTATTAATTCATCAATATACTTTTCTCATAAATACGTTCTGTCAGAAAAAATAACAAAAAATTGAAGTGGAATCTCATCATCCCATAAATATATATTTATTTTTGCTTTATAAAAAACTTTGTATCTCATACAGTCCAAGTTTTTCTATAAAATTTATCATAATGGGTTCTACTTAAATGCAATGCTCAATATGCTATATAATTCTCAGCTGCAGATCATGTATGCAACTGGAATATGAAAATTAAACAAATTGATTAATATGAATATCATTATTGAAGATTGAAGAAAAAAAAGAGAGCAACTGACCGTGCCATATATGAAAGAATATCACAAGAATAATGAGTAGATGCGAGGTTTTCGAGAGTATGGGATTGGAATCTCCCGTGAAATAATCAACATCTACTTCACCCTCCTCCGGAATGCTTCGTGTTCTTTTCTCCATCCACTGGTATGCCTCCATCTTATATTTTTTCAGTATTTCAGGACCAACTTCCTCTCTAATTCGCCTATTGTAATTATTCAACCATCGTCGCTGTTTTGGTGAACAATAGAGACAGATGAATTGCAAAAACTTTAATGATTTGTGTATACATATATAGAATAACAGTTACTTACGTGTGATCTATTGAGCATACTAAGATCAATAAGTTTAGGCTCATAAGGAACTAATGTGACATCGCGAAATTTTAGTAATTTTGTATTTTTTATTTCCTAAAATAGAAATTGGTAATTAATTTCAAAGATATTCAAGTGGTAGGTAGGTCCATTTTGTTATGGCAATAAAATTAACACTCTTCTTTGGTTGTCCATTTGTTTGTTTTTTCTTTTTCTTTTGTTTTTTTTTTTTTTCGTCGAAATATTTATCAATGCCTTTTACTCACGGCATCAACAACTTCGAGAACATTCTCCAATCGAATGCCAAATTTTCCATTTTTATAATATCCTGGTTCGTTGGATAAAAAGTTTCCCGGTTGTAGACGCGTACTACATCCTGGTGTAACTGTTGTATTTTGAATATATGAGACACTAATAGGAGCTGTAAATAAAATGCACGATATAACTATATATTGCAATAAAAATGTTGTGAATATTCTGTATATAATTGATTGAAAAAATTGTGACCAACACTCATGAACAGATAGAAAATGGCCTATTCCATGCCCAGTCCCATGCATATAATCATATCCGGCTTTCCACAGAGGTTCTCTTGCAAAAACATCGAGTTGATCGGCCCTGAGATCAGCCGGGAATACCATCGATGCCAATTGAATCGAACCGATGAGCACTCTTGTGTATGCTCTCTTCTGCTCCTCAGTTGGCTCACCAAAATGAAAGGTTCTCGTTACATCGGTAGTTCCATCTACACACATACACAAGTTTTCCTTTTTATTCTATAAAAAAAATGAGAATAGATTGTTAATTGATTAATTGAAAAATTCCAAAGAGAGTGAATAAAATTTTTCCACCGAAATACTGTCCTCCTGAATCAATGACCAATGTTGAGTCTTTTCCAATGAGAGCACTAGTCCTCTCAGTGGGTTCATAATGCGGTTGTGCTCCATGAGCTCCATACCCAACAATAGTCGGAAATGCAATGCCCTGATTATAATCCATTTCGAATCGAAATCCGTTGATAGCCCTCACAACTTGCATTTCATCCCATTCTTTTCGATTAATACTCATTTGGAACTCCATATCAGCCAAAAAATCACACATCACTATAGCGTCTCTTATATGTGCCTGTCTCATTCCATTTTTTTCAATATCATTTTTTACAGCTCGCAGTGCAATAATGGGTGAGGGTTTGAATAAATGTTTTGACGGTGGAATCTGAATGCAAACAATTTGCACATTATTTTTCATCTCTTCATCTTATCATTTTATAATTATAATTGCACTTACAGATACATATATTTGCCTCGATACACCTTGAGCATAGCCACAGGGTGCTGGTAACCATACTTTGGTCCATGATTGAGATAACGTTCGTAGATCATTCCAAATTTCTGAGTAATTGACTATTCTGAAAATAAGGAATCGAGAGTTGGAGCTGGTTGGTAAAGAAAAAAAAAATGAATAAGCAAGTAAATAAATAATAATGATGATGAATTTCTACCGCACACAGTCTGCATAGTAACAGCCATCGGTCTTCAAATGTAAATCAACGCTTCTTTTGATTTTTTTACGATCGGTATAGAGAAGAATAGCTTGAGGAGTGAGTACCACATAGGCCCTGAGTACTGGTGTATTAGGTAGGTCCCAGCCCCTTATATTGAGCAGCCAAGCGATATCATCCAATGCTGTAATAACGAGAGCATCTGCTGATGCATTCTCCATTAGACATCTCACTTGGTGAATTTTCTCTTGCCATGATTTACCCGAGAATTCATTTTTCAATTTATAGGCGGGATGGGTAATGTCAGATGTACGATTCACTTGCCAAATTATATCGATGAGATTTTTATGAACGGCAACGAGATGTATCGACGATTCCCCTGTGTATAAGTCATTAAATCATTAAATATAGCATAACAAGTAGTCCTAGCAGTGGCTTATTCATATCCCATATCTCATTTTAATTTCATTCATCAACTTTAAAATTCAAGCCAATTGAAAAATAATCATTATGTTCAATTGTCAAAGCTTTCAAAGGCAACTATGTATTATATTATAGATGAATAAATTCTCATTACCCAATTCTTTTTCCCAATCGATCCATGTTTTCGCTGGAATTAATTTGGGATCAGCGCCTATGCGAGCTTCAGAGTTGTTTTGAAATTCTTGTTTTAACCATTGGGTCATTGAAGGTACCTGTTGAATTGATTACCAGAAATGAATTTTGCTTGCAATTATTAAATAATAAAATTTTCAAAATAACACCACTCAGAATACCCACTCTTCCCAGGCCACCCATACAGAGTACAGGAGGTGAACGATCATCGATAACTGTAGATTTGAAATAATTTCAATTCTACAAGTCGTCCTCACGCTCAGGGAAGAGGGTTATATCTCTTCATCGTGGCTGCATCAACTCCACTGTTGAGTAGAGAGAATGTGAAGATATACTACAGAAATGATCCTGTGAAGTATGATCTTAATTTTTTCTATCATCGAGAGGCTTTACATCAACTTTTCAATGAGATTTGGCTTGAGGAAAAAAATACGTTGAGATGCCATCTAGCGCCGCGACTAACTTCTTACTTACGCCTTCGTCACCGTATTTCATGAGAATCCAATTACAGTCTAGTTGATGATCTGCCTGAATATGATATCTCCCATCGGTCCATAATATGGCTTTATTTGCTGTTACCAATGCCTCTCCAGCACTGCCACGAAATCCCGTGAGGAATTCTCGTCTCATGTAGTGGGGTAAAACTGTTTCACTCTGAAACAGATAAAATATACCCGTATCCTTATTTTAATAATGTGCGTTAAAAAGTAATCCGTGTATTATCTCTCATCTTTATAATTTTTTTATTTTTTGGTTGAAAAAAGAATGGAAAGCACACAAAGCAATTAATACTGCTATTATATTCATTATGATTATTACAATCTGCCAAAACATTAATTATTATTTTATGAAAAAAAGAAAAAAAAATACCTCCGAGGGACCCTTCCGAGCATGTGATAATGGAATCGAGCTCTGAAATTTGTTTGTCATTGAATTTACCTTCATTTCATTTGGATAAATCGAGAAACATGAAATTGAATTTGATTCTATGGCAATAATATACGCGCATTACCTGATGATCATCATTGGAAGGTACAATATATCCATCGAGCGGCTTATCCTGTACGGATGTCATGCGAATCATTTCGGATCGCAATTGTCGAAGCATGATAGACGAATCATATCGATCAATTGGTTTGCTATTGTTTCTCCCACTTCCTTGACAAGTTGTTCTCGGTGTGCCATTGTAATTGAGGGCAACTTGTGCTATTCCATGCCCGCCTTGATTTAATGGTACTCCTGATAATCATTAAAAAAAAAAAACATCAGCCAATGATTGTTATACCTAATAATTTACTGAAAAAAAAAATGAAAAAAATTGGAGGCGCCGGGTATCGATCCCGGTACCTCTCGCATGCTAAGCGAGCGCTCTACCATCTGAGCTACGCCCCCAAAAACCCAACAGATAATTTTTATATCTNCCCATACAGAGTACAGGAGGTGAACGATCATCGATAACTGTAGATTTGAAATAATTTCAATTCTACAAGTCGTCCTCACGCTCAGGGAAGAGGGTTATATCTCTTCATCGTGGCTGCATCAACTCCACTGTTGAGTAGAGAGAATGTGAAGATATACTACAGAAATGATCCTGTGAAGTATGATCTTAATTTTTTCTATCATCGAGAGGCTTTACATCAACTTTTCAATGAGATTTGGCTTGAGGAAAAAAATACGTTGAGATGCCATCTAGCGCCGCGACTAACTTCTTACTTACGCCTTCGTCACCGTATTTCATGAGAATCCAATTACAGTCTAGTTGATGATCTGCCTGAATATGATATCTCCCATCGGTCCATAATATGGCTTTATTTGCTGTTACCAATGCCTCTCCAGCACTGCCACGAAATCCCGTGAGGAATTCTCGTCTCATGTAGTGGGGTAAAACTGTTTCACTCTGAAACAGATAAAATATACCCGTATCCTTATTTTAATAATGTGCGTTAAAAAGTAATCCGTGTATTATCTCTCATCTTTATAATTTTTTTATTTTTTGGTTGAAAAAAGAATGGAAAGCACACAAAGCAATTAATACTGCTATTATATTCATTATGATTATTACAATCTGCCAAAACATTAATTATTATTTTATGAAAAAAAGAAAAAAAAATACCTCCGAGGGACCCTTCCGAGCATGTGATAATGGAATCGAGCTCTGAAATTTGTTTGTCATTGAATTTACCTTCATTTCATTTGGATAAATCGAGAAACATGAAATTGAATTTGATTCTATGGCAATAATATACGCGCATTACCTGATGATCATCATTGGAAGGTACAATATATCCATCGAGCGGCTTATCCTGTACGGATGTCATGCGAATCATTTCGGATCGCAATTGTCGAAGCATGATAGACGAATCATATCGATCAATTGGTTTGCTATTGTTTCTCCCACTTCCTTGACAAGTTGTTCTCGGTGTGCCATTGTAATTGAGGGCAACTTGTGCTATTCCATGCCCGCCTTGATTTAATGGTACTCCTGATAATCATTAAAAAAAAAAAACATCAGCCAATGATTGTTATACCTAATAATTTACTGAAAAAAAAAATGAAAAAAATTGGAGGCGCCGGGTATCGATCCCGGTACCTCTCGCATGCTAAGCGAGCGCTCTACCATCTGAGCTACGCCCCCAAAAACCCAACAGATAATTTTTATATCTACCTTGTTATACTTATGGTCATGTAACTGATGTCAAAAAGAAAAAGGACTCTGACTCATAATTTCCAGATTGAATTTAGTTGTTATTCACTTGTTTGAGTAAAATTTGTGTGTATTGACTTGTTTGACGATGCAACTTTTCTGTAATTTTTTTGCTAAAATTAATGTAACGCGAAAGTTACATTAAATGTAATGTGCAACTGCATAATAAATTTTTTTTCTTGAGTGATTGATGTATGGGTAATGGCACAATAAAATTAGTCCCAAATTTTTTAACATGAAATTATTATTTTTCTACGGACAAAGCAGAGGAGAAAAAGCATTTGAAAAGCCTTTATGCAACCTGACCTCGTACAATGCCACATTTGAGAATATACGGAATCAGGTAATTTGATAGAGTATTGTGGATGAACAATAAATCTCCTCTAACATTCTAGTAAACGCAATGGAATTGATAATTATTTCAAAATGATTTGTCTCTAATGCAATAATTACAATATTTAATATAGGTATACATAGCTCGTTATATTACATAGGTATAATACTAATGGTGAATTTTTTTCTGTGACAAAGTATTGAATGCTCAACTATCGAATTGAACATATTTTCATTAGATCATGCAAGTCATACTGCGTCATGGTTACACAATGTCCTGTTCCCAACTCTCAATCAATTTTGATTGAGAGGAAACTATAAAAACTCCGACTGAAGCCGAAAAAAATGCCGAGTTTTAGACGAGCATTACAATGTGGTTACTACGAATAATTGTCTGCTGCTTGGCATTAGGATTATCCTTGGGGGCTGATGAAGTTGAGTTGTCAATTCCTCAAGGAACCCTCAAAGGCTTGAAAACAAAAACCGCTCAGAATGGAGTGGAATATTACAGTTTCAAAGGAATACCTTATGCCAAACCTATGATTGGATCCAACAAGTTTAAGGTAATCAATGAATGATAATACTACCTCATTGGCATCGGCACGCCGACTGTATGAAAAAATTAACAATGAAAATTTCAGATTTCAGAACCTGCTGAGGGTTGGAGTGGAGTGAGGGATGCCACAAAACACGGCAATACTTGTGTCTTTTTCTGTATGGTGCAGAAAAAACTCGTTGGAGACGAAGATTGTCTCTTCTTGAATGTTTATACTCCAACGATTGAGCAGGGAAGTGGAAAAGCTGTTATGGTGTACTTCCATCCTGGTGGTTTCACAGGGGGCTCGGGTGATGATGATCTCTTTGGACCAGATTTTCTTCTCGAGAAAGATGTTATCTTGGTGACAGTGAATTCTCGATTGGGAGCAGTTGGTGAGTAAGCAAATGGCCAAGGTGCGTTAGGAATATATTCAAGTATTCAAATATTTCATTATATTTCATTACATTTCAGGATTCCTCAATACTGGAGATGCTAATGCACCAGGAAATGCTGGTCTGAAGGATCAAGTCTTGGCATTGAACTGGATTCGAAATAATATTGGAAATTTTGGTGGATGCCGCAATCGTGTGACATTATTCGGTGTTAGTTCTGGTGCTGCGTCTGTTCAATATCACATGCTTTCACCAATGTCAGAAGGTATCAAATAATTTCTTCATAGTTTTTTTGTTTTTCCTTTTCTTCATGAAAACAACAAGTGCAAATGCAAATGCAAATGCAAATGCATATGTTGATGCAAATCGATGTATCGATTTTATGTAAATATTCTTTTTCACATTGCCCGTTACACAGGACTATTCAAACGAGCAATTATTCAGAGTGGTTCAGTAGCAAGTTCTTGGGCCATTTCATATACTCCTAGGGAAGATGCAATGGCACTTGCTGATAAACTTGGAATTAAGGCAGCAGACACTACGGAATTGGTCGAGAAATTGAGTAACATTCCTACCCCGCAAATTGTCGAAGCAAGCACTTCACTCGCGCAAACCATGGTGATAAATTGGAAAATGTTATTTCCTAGTCCTAGTAAAATAATCAAACAAGATATATTAATTTTATAATTTTTTAAAACTCGAGATTTTAAGTTATATTGAATAATATGGTCAACTATGTGCGAAAATATATATTGTTAGCATATAGTTATAGTGTATTAGCCTTAATTATATATTCAAAGATAATGTCGGTACACAGGAGCCGGAGTTTCTTCAAAATGACGCCCGACCAACGAGCTTTTTTAAAGACACCATCAAGAAACATCTTACCACCTTGAATTATTATTGATTCATTGTTGTAGAATTTTTTCCGTGGTGATATGCATTGGTTCCTACCATCAGTGGAGACTGATTTTGGACAAGAAATGTTCCTTCCAGCAGATCCATGGGAGCTATTAAAGTCAGGACGTGTGGCTGATGTCAACACCATGATTGGGACCACTTCACAAGAGGGTGGATTGTTCGTAGGAAGTAATGAAAAATTAAAATTTTATCATTTCCACAAAGCCTTGTTCAATTTAATGGATTAACAATTTTTCTTTCTTCAGTGGTCCTGCCAATGGCTTCGCATTTCAAGGATAATTTTCAATTGTTTATCCCCAAGGATCTCAACATGACAGATTCAGCCCAGACAAAGATGGTGGGGGAGTCCATTAAGAAATTTTATTTTGGCGATAAAGAAGTTGGTGATGCATCACTTATGGAACTGACTGATCTTCTAACTGATGTCTTTTTTTCCTGTGGATCAATGTTAACGGCCAAGGTCATGAATTCTCGATTAACTTGTCCTGTTTATCAGTATTTATTCAATTTCGAAGCGCAATTTGGATTCATGAAAGCGCTGTTCAAGATGGAAGGAGGTAAATTTAATCTTCTTCTTCTTCTTATTATTATTATTATTATTATTATTATTATTATTATTATCAATACAATAATTAATTTTTTGTAACTTTTTGTCTTTAGGCATTGTACACGGAGATGATATGACATATCTCTTCTATTCGAATGCATTTCAAAATAAATTGCAGCCGGGTTCACGTGTGGAAACTATGACTAATCAGATGGTTGAAATGTGGACCGATTTTGCTAAAGAGGGGTATGTAAGAATCTACAAAATGGAAATAATCGATCCATATGAATTTTAATGGTTATGGTTATTTGGGCTATTACAGAAATCCCTCCGTTACCATGAATGCTGCCAAAGTCAAGTGGGAACCCATGGGTGATAATGGAAATTACTTGGAAATCAATGATGACCTCACTATGAAAACATCCATCTCCAAAGATCGGCTCAATTTTTGGGCTGGAATATATAAAGATGTACTTGGCGATTATGTCAAGCTCTTTAATTGATCTTTTCAATGAATATTCATCAGTCGGTTAATATGTTTCACTTGGAGGAGATCAATTGATCAATATAAGATGCAAGCATTAATATGATTTTCATTGTTGTCTTTTTTATTTTTAATTCCGACAATTTAAAATATTTTCCAATTTCCATCCAGTTTTATATAGCGCTGGAGTGTTTAGAAATAGTGTTTGTACAATAAAAAAAAAATGCTAAAGTAGAAAAATTTTCAAAGAACGGTTTTAAATAATATTGAGCAATAAATTCAATTATCAGTTGCCACGATAAATGATCAATTTGGAATTTTCTTTATTAAACATGCTCTTTGAACTGAAATTTTCCCATTTCGCTGAAGCATTGTTACACCTATTGCTTCGTCACTTGCTCCATTGTCTACAAGTTACTAGGAGAGTAGAAGAAATACCAATTCTGAAACTATACTATAGTTGATCTTAGTGCGTCACTTTAGAATCTCTACGATTCATGATCTACGGTGATCATCTCTATGATGATATTTGCTTGTCTGCTACATAACAAGTGTAACTCATATATCAAGCTATGAAATTGAAATCATAAGTTAATCGATGAAATTTGCAATGTCGATTTAAAATTGAATTGAAATAACTATTGATGAGAAAATAAGGAAAGATGGTGAAAACCATTAAATGGATTTAACAGTGTGGTTGACCATTTTGGTACTTTGCCACTCACTTCTCTAGCGTCAGTAGATCAAGTTAACAGAGTAGTGAAGAAGTTAAACAAAACAGTCTAAAGTTGTTAGCTGACACAATTTTCTAACAGGTAGGTGTTTCTCAACGTAATTCTACTACAATGTGAATATGGAATATTCCATAAATATCATCTTATAAAGTATGTTGTTGTATAGTATATAATGAGAGGTGAATTATTGCAACTGAATGTATTGACTTAATACATTACAGAGAGATAATAAAATTCACATACCTAGGATTGAACGGATTAGATAAATTAATGATAGCCTCGATTCTAAAGAGAGATGAGATCAAGATGCTGTGGGTTTGTATCGTATTTCGAGATGACGTTCAACATCTGTCTACTAGGGGTTTATATACCTGAGGTGGTAGATTTCCAGTCTCTATGGATCAGATTCGAGCAACTTTTCATTTTTCTGTCATTGTTTTCCAGAAATTTCTCTTTCTAATTTTTTTTTACCTATTAATTTCATCACTTGCAATGATTTTTGTAATAGCAATTTTGCACTTGACTATTCATCGAATATGATAGATGATGCCCGCGCGATCTAGTATGTTGAACAGAGGAGCAGCAATATTCCACCTTATTATCATTATAAATTCAATGCTTTAGATAATAGCTCAATGATTATAGAAATACTTACTCATGCATTACCATTAGATTTATGTTTATCAAAAGTGAGAATTCTTTTTCGTTTTGAATTGAATATGAATTGAATAAAAATAACTAACTTAACATGAGGAAATGACATTTATAGGGGTATGAATAATATTATCATCATTATCATCGTGACTGTGAGTTTACCTGTCAATGTGTAAGTGCATGCGCTTTACCCTCCCTCCCTCCCTCTCAACTGCGTAAAATCGATATAGTCACCACACAGTTAAGAGAGAGATTTTAATAACACGTTTTGACATGTTGTATTGCTTTTGTACAATAAAGGAAGAGAGTATGAAGAGAGAAAGATATTACCGTGAAAAAAAAAATATTTCCATGGAGAAAAAGAAAATAATAATAAAAATAGGAGAAATAAATGAAGGAAGGATTTGGCGGGAGAATGACAAGTTGTCATAGCACATGCAATTTGACGGCGATGGAGCAGGATAAAGCGCGCAATGGTAACGCACCCAGCGGATAAATTGCTGCTTGCTACCTCCTGGGATCCTGGTAGCAGTGAGACGCGACGCTGCTTAAGTGACCGGGTTTTACATGGTCCCAAGGATCGTCTGTCGTGCTGTTTAGAGTTGAGCTAGATTGTGAAGAGTTCTCACCGAAAAAAGATGCATCAAGCCTTTTTTTTCAGCTTCTTTCGAGAGGCCGAAGCGTCGCGGATGCCCGCCACTGGAATAGGGGAGTAGCAATGTGAGGAGGTGGATTGGTAGTGGTGGTGGTGGTGGTGGTGGTTAACAACCTACCCCTTATGGAAGGGTGGCGGATCAACCGTATGCGACAAAGAGGAAGGTATACATACCAGCATCGATTGGAAAAATGTTACATGTTACACATAACACGGATTTATTGTGAAGAATTATTTGTAAGAAGAGAAACGATGGGTCAAATTCAAATGATGCTTTGTTAATTTTATATAATGCCCCTTTGGAGCCTAAATTTCTACCCAAAAAAATTTAATTGCTTTAATAAAATAATTTTCTCTGATGGCCTTGCTTAGGAATAACGCTATGGAATCTATGCTATGCTATGCTATGCCACATGCTCAGCAGATAGTATCAAAGTGTATGATTATTGGGAGAGAAGAAATAGAAGAACGAATGAGCAGTGGTTTTATTAGATTTATACAAACGGAAACCGGAAGTCATGGGTTGGAACGGATGGAACACTCAGCAACCAGGGTAACATGATGTCACTGATAACACCAGGCTGTGTATAATATATACACACACCATACAATATATATATGGCTTCATGGGTCTACCCGGGCCTACATTAAAAATACTCAAATACTATCTAACAATAATTAAAGGATTTGAACATTTTTCAAAATGAACCCGGTTTCATGTGATGATAGAATACTTAAACTTCCGTCAAAACGTTGTAAACGTTGAAGCCCAAAAAATTTGCAATCATTCAGGATAACATAAGATGGATGGAATTTCTTCTGGTCTTTCAGTGGGGGGTTACGTTGCACATTACACCAATACATTGAGTCAATAGAAACTGTACTCATGTTTGGTTGTATCTATACGTCAAAGGTACTGTCTGTTGACTGTCACTCGCAACATGCTCACCTGGTACGAGGCGCGACATTGTGTGTTGAAAAAAATTCCCATTTCTTACTTGTGCCTTTTGTCGGCACTCAATACTTGTGAATAACGAAAGTCAAAAATAGAGCGTATCAATGATAACGTCAGAAAATATTCCATCATCAAGTATAGAGGCAAAGTTGATCGCTCATCGCAATGGCAATTACAATACTTGATGACAAACATAAGGGACCAGTAATTGAATATAATTAGAGCCATGGCAGAGCAGATCAAATATTGAAACATGACAGGAAAAAAAATGTTATTCAAGTCTTTTGGGGCAGCAATAATAATAATAATAATAATAATAATAATAGTGATAAGATTTTTTTTTCTGTACAGATATTGGATAAGTGACAGCGTTAGTTAGCAGGAATGCAGAAACATGTGAAGGCAATCAATGTCCCAAGACAACGTTCATTTTATCCATGGGTGGCGAGTTGCTAGTGTGTCGTCATTTTTTAGCTACTATAATCATCCTCTTCTTGATTGATCAATTGGGACGGCTCACAAAAAATGAAACTTCTATTTGAAATATTCCATTTTCACATAATATCATCCTAATGGGTCTACAATAACGAAATTTCAATGATATGTTGAGTACATCGTGAAGATTATATTATACAATGACTATTCAATGTTAAAAAGTCAATGTGAATAACCGGACAGGCAATTATATTGCACACTGAGGATGTACTCACGCAATGTCTAACTGAGAAATGTTATCAGGAAAACATGATGCCTCCCAGAATTTTCTTCTCTCCAAATTGTCATTTTAAAAGATTTTCAAGTCAATTGCTTTAAAAAAACTATTAGGATTTCATGATCATCACTATCACGCTCTCCATACTGCTCAAGACAGTGATTACGCACTCTAAATATGAATCCCTATAGATAAAAGTTTGTTGTGAATCATTATATTCACTGAAAGAAACTAGACAACTAATAAAAATTGGTAATATGTTGAAAAAAATGACATATGATTTTTGACTTTTACGCGTTCATTTTATTTTCAAAATACACAACCCGGAGGCATTGAGATGTCTCTATAACGAAGAAAAAACATGCAGAGCAACAGGAGAACACGAAGCATGTGTGAAATGTTGTCCATGTTTCGCCCTCATTTGCCAACAATATGTATATGATAGCAACCATTGTTAACTTGACGGAATTATTATAAGCGTTTTTGATTGATTGTTCGGTCGGACAGTGAGTTATTTCTTCCACTTTTCAAAGTGTAATGTTAAATAAATGAAAGCCATTGAAACCTCCGCATAAACTTGATTGTACTTCTAACAGATTTTCACAGGGTGCAGGCTCAAGAGACGAGCATAGTAACAGTGAATAACAAGTTAAAAACCCGAAAACATTGAATTTTTTCCATTTTCATCTGAAAAACCAAGATTACACACACGAATGGATTTATACTGTCGCAGTCCATTATAGTATTTATGGTAATAAGGGGAGAATCTAGTTGTGTGTCAGACTGGGAATCGGGTAGTTGTTGGTAAAGTACGGTTTAGAAATCACCGGATCGTATGAAGCACAGAGAGGTCGTCGACTAAGCTAAACGCGCTTAGGGTACAGCACAAATACTGGCCCCGAACCTGTCATGACGTCATGAGTCATGTGTCATTCTTAGGGTTCTTTGTGGATTGGATTGATTACATAATTACATGATTTTGACGAAGGATTAATAGTTGATTGTTCGTTAATCAAATTTTTCATTTTCTCCTTATTCAGAATTTTATGCATTGTCATTTGTCGAAATGTTGCACAAAAAAATTTCATTGAGATGAAAAGAATTGAGATTTTTGGGATGAAAAATTGATTGAAAATGGATTATCGATTCCGGTAATTCTTACATGATAACCGAACGATTCACTAAGCTAACGCCCCCTAATTTTGAAATATATGCATGAGCGACATTTAGCCGACAAATTGGAATCAATGAGACGATATTATTCTAGGAGTTGATGCGTCACATAAAATTTTTTCCACGACTCTACTAATATTTTTGGCATCAGAATGGTCAAGTTTATTTCTTCACTACACAGAATTTAACAAAAATATTATTATTTTTTCCTTTGTGTCAATGAGTTTACAAATTGAATTGATACATCTTTCATTTGACAAATTACTTACTGAGGAAGAAATGGAAAGAAAATATGTACACCGATTTATGATTTATTTAGTTTCTCGATATCAATTCAAATTTTCAATAATTCATTGCGCGGTTGGTTTTCGTGTTATTGCAGCTCGCGGCTTACCCCTGGAAATGGCTTGTAAACACTGTAAATCAAAAAGTATCGGGGCTAGGACAGCCGACTTTGGTATGCTGTCATTGATGTTACGATACTAGTGATTTTGTATAACATGGAAATATTTACTTGGACAATTGTTTGAAAGTTTGAAAAGCTTTTTTATTGTATTATGCAATCTCCCTTGCCATGATATTTCGCATTTATCCTTGTATTTAGAGCACGTCTTTTCCCAAGGTGCTCACTAATAATATATTACCAATATCGAGCCCCGCATTATCTATTGTATCTCCCCAATGTATCCTCCCGTTTATCGGTGCTCTCTAGTGCACCCTGAAGGTGAACACTAAAATGAAAGTACATGGGAGGGTTTTCGCAATACAAAAACGTCATACAGGGTGCACAGGATACCATATATAAAGTTGTATGCTGTACGTGGCTGACCTAATACAGACATGAATCAACAACTTTCGCCTGAGTACAACGTACGTATAAGTAAAACTAATTAGACACCGGTCGGTGTAAAAAACACTCAAAGTTTTTAGGATCCTATTGGATTTTTGGAGAAGGCGCGCGGAGGAGGGGAGGATAAAAACACGCTGAAGCCTCAACTTGTCAACCTCCTGTCACAGCATGAATGCCTGCTACCCCGCGCTCCTTCTTTTCCGATAATTTACCATATTCATTAGCATATCTCATTTTGATATTATTATAATCGCTATACTATAAAGACTCTACCAAAGAATTCATTGATGGAATTTTTTTTCCGCCACTATATTTGTTAGTTATTATCATGTACAGAATATGTATGGAGAGCCTCCGCCTCTGAGTCTCCCGAACTATACCGCCCGCCCTCCACCCCCGGCTACTATTTTCCAATATACTAAGCTGACCTCCATTCGATATTATTATTATAAAAATATACAGTCGCATCATACAGGCGCGAATAGTTTCACATGGTAAAATTGTTCAGGGGTTAAATCTCGTCCTTTATATCTTCCGTGTATCAAATAGTTTGTTATCGGTGTTGTGTGACACTGCAGTGGAAACTCTGAGGAGCACAGCTCACATATTTTGATTGTCTGTTGATATTTGTTCGTTTTTTAATTTTTTTTTTTTTTTTGCAATCTTGAGCATTCCATAAACAGTATTCGCTCAACTAAAATTCCTCAATGTTCAGAGTGAGGTTTGTGCTGAATTATTATAGTATAAAAAACTGTTTATTTCTGTTACAATGAACTTTGTGAAAGCTCACAGTGAATTAATACTCCAGTACAGTGGAATTTTATGAATCTTCTCACTCAATTTTACATACGAAAATGTGAGAGGAATAGCATTGGGCACGCGGACTACGGTCCGAGGTCGATATTAATAGTTCAACCTAGTCATCAGATGTTGCGGCCAATGTTCGCTAAATTCTCACGGAAAATACTATACCGAATTTACTGAAGGAATCATGATGCAGGGTATTTTATTAACTGAGGAGCTGTTGAAAATTTGCTCAATCATTAGCAATTGCATTTGTCAGCATAGTTTATGTGATTAAGTTTATTGATGGTGTGGATTAATCAAGCGTATCAAAGTGCCAAAGTGGAATCTGTTCATGCAATTTATCACGGCACTTCTCTTTATTCTCTTTATTCAAACTTTGATAAGCGGTGAGAAAATCTCATTGAAAATTAGTCCTAAAATCTCATAATGGTGCAACGTATCAGCGTATTGGCCTACCAGGCATTTTCACCAAAACACTGATAATAAACACTACAATATTTATGTAGACTCTTCACATATTTCACAGATATTGATAGATATTGTTTTTTTTTCTTCTTTAAATTGCATCAAATTCCAACCAACTTGAATATATATATGTAATGACATGCAGTAATTTTGATAAAGTCATTATTATGTCACTCTTAATTGTATAATTTATGTTGAATCAGTTAATGATAGAAGTCGCTATTCTCCATGGTAAATGATATTTGGTATGTGCAATCAGGTTGACGAATAGTTGATTATGCGTGTGACTCTATCGAGCGCCCCATACAAGATTACCATTCTCCATGAATATTCATATAATCGTTAATATTCATTTATGCAATATAGATTAAAATGTTCAATAGTTGGGATGAATTTAAATGGAAAAATCAAATCATCAATTCATCATTGCAATCAATTTTTCAAAAGTTTTTGTAATTTTGATTTATATTGAAGTAGTGTAATATCCTATGACAGTTGAGAATGAAAATATTTCAATTTTTTGTCAAATATTAGCAGAGAGAATACAAGGAGTGGATCGTGGAATTGGGTCAGACATGCCGCGCGGCCACATAATCCGTCTGTTCAAGTGAGAAAAATATGAGTGTGTCCTTTCCACAAAAATCTGTCGGCGGAGAGGATACGGCGCTCCGACAAAAGTGTCAGCAATCAGTTGGAAAATTGGTGAAAAATACGAAACGAATTACTGCCCATTAATTAAATTGTACAATGGACGCTTTGACTTTCTTCTAAACGAGATCCATCCACGTCTTCGTTAACTCATTTAAACAATAACGATGATTGATCTGACAGTCACGTTAACGTGTTGCTATAGACACAAAAGCCCGTGTGGTCGGTCGGGCATGAGAATGTGACATTGAACTTAACTCGGTAATAACCGGCGTAGCTGTGCGGTCAATCTTTTTAAGTTAATGCTGTCCAATAGCACTTTGGGTATTTTATGAGTGTGAATAATCAATCCACGGTCGTCAATTTTCTTTTTTTCCTTTTCTCTTTTTTTTCTCCTATCAAGCTCTGATTGTAATGATAGATGGCTGATTTGTCTAACGCGGATGCCATATCAAGTGGCCCTCAGGGACAATTTGCAATAAACTCTACTCTATAAAACTATTGTTGAATATTTTATCGGTCGCTCAATTAATTTAACGGTCATTTAATGCTACTCACCCAGAACGAAAATAATCAAATGAATCCATCGCTCTGAATTTATCATTTTCACGTCAATCCTCGAAAAGTTTTCATCCACCGTGAATTGACATAAGCCAAGAATAGTGAATTTAAACTCTCTCCGAAAAAAAGATAAACTCCAATGTCGAGTAGTAGGCGAGCTCCAACGGTAATTCGCGCTCAAGTGTCATATGACTGAAGATTTTCGATGACGATTTTCCAAGAGAGACACCGTTAAAAAACAAAGACCGTGGTGGTCTGTGATGTGTTCCGCCCAGTATTTTTAGATCCCCCGTACTGTGTGCATCACTGCTGATTCTGCGGTTACTCTCGAGGGTCTCAGGATGAAGATGTGGGCGGAAAGTGGTGGGAAAGAGATAACTAGGAAGTGGCGTTCGTTCACCAGTTTTTTTTTGCCCCCTTAATTTTCCTTCATCGTGTCAGCAATCAGTTTAGCCTTTGGTACACGAGTAAATTGGAACAAAAAAAAGTATGAACCAATTCGTCAATAATATGAACAAATTCATCGGCGAATTTGGAATGTTCATTGAAATTGTCCATTATTATTAGTAGCTTTTGGCTCTCTGATTCATAAGAAAGTGACAGTTGAAGAGGATATCTTGAGCGAACTTAAACCACATCCTCCAGAAGCTCAATTCCGTTGAAATGGACTTGATTCATTCCCGATATCGCTACATATATGACCCACCCAACCCAAGCCTTTTAAATTCCGTCCGAGGAGCTTAATAGTATGATTCATTATTAAATGAACGGTTTTGAATGATGGCGAAAGCGGGTGCGATTGAAATTTTAATAGCTTTCCTTTCACATTAATTATCCAGATGAGTCTCTTGAAATTATCAAAAGAATTTTCACCATCGTGGCACATATATTTCTACGGATAATTAAATCCAATGAGATTATAAAATACACTAATGAAAGATTGCTATTTATATTACTGATATTTATTCATTTATTTATTTCATCACTGATTTATGTTAAATTAATCATCACATAAATTCATTTTCAAATTAAATTCCGTCATTGCTATGATTTTCTTTTTTTTTCATCATTATTTACACTTTTTCTTTTTTGGATAGTTTTATTGTGAAAAAGGATGTTTCAACGTTAAATATATTTATATCTTATCCTATAATGCTTTCATTGTTACATAATGTTTTGTATTTTTCACATCATTCTGCCAATTGTGTGTTATAGTCTTTTAATTGAAATGCATTCCTTTCGGCAGTTTAGGCTAAACAAAAAAAGTGGTGGTATAGTGTTGATGAATAAAGTTTTATCGAGCAACCGAAATTCTTCATTGATACTACAAAAACCCCCAGTGAAATTGATTTTTCTATGGATTTTCAGGGCATTTAAAGTAACATGCTCTAATCAACAATAATAAATTATTAAATAACTATTCACAAAGTTTCCCCATAGGCGATTAATTATTACTATAAATTGCTGACTTCAGACGTTTCCCTTTAATATATTATTACTATCGTTATTTCATTGATACATCTCTTGTAGTTCTTTCTTTCATTGATGAAAAAAATCTGAGTTTGTCTGTTTAATACAAAAATGAGTTGTGGTCACATTGAGTAATTGCAAACTTTATGTATAATGAATAGACTATTTCTAATCTTAGAAATAGATGTACGTACATTATCATTTTTCTTTTTCGCTTCATATAAACATTCTGTCTCAATAAACAGTAGTTACATTGGAAGAATTTGCATTAAAAGTGTAATTTTACATTTTTCATAACAAATTGTTATCAGAAGACTTAAAATTCAGCAAAATATATTTTTAAAAACTTGATCAATGCAATATGATAGTCATCGGCACGCTTAAGTACCACAAATGCCATTAAAATTCATGTAATACAGTTTTTTAATTTTATTCGGAAGATTTGTTGGCCAATATTGGCTCGTCTACAAATTTGTTTTACAAACAATAAAAAGATGTTTATGTCATAATTAACTTGTCTTTATGCAAAGGAAATCAAGTTCTTTTCAAATTTATACTTTACATTTTCGTTGCAACAACTACACAATTGCATTCGTCCTGAGCTAATCAGTACGATATACTCACTACTCCACAAACCTCATACAGAATAGGACTTTCATGTAATTTTTTATGTACACTTCTAGGCTCAATACACATTTCTTCTAAGTATCATTTTCTTTTTCTAATTAACTTCTTTTCATTAATTCGTTAAAATTGTTAGCTAAATGTTTCTTACGATAATTATTTAATCACTGACTGCCGGATATACATATACATGTATATATAGTTTTCATTTTCATCTGGCACCTCATCAATGTAATGCACACTTCGTTGGAATCAAGTGATTCATTCATTCTTCAATTATTAAAAAACAAAAAAAAATCATAAGAAAATTGCACACAATCACACTGTTTGGTTGTGTGAATACATTTTTGTAATTGGCATAAAATGGAATTTGCATTTATGATTGTTAAGTGTATTTTGTTTCCCACTTACAGCTTCGAACATTAATCATTCATTAAAATGTTTGAATTTCTACATACATAACTCTGTTTTTTTTCTCAGGGAAAAAAATTTAATTTCCATAAATTTTTAATAATTAAAAAATTTTCAGTCGAAGGAGCACTTGTGTGAGGGACAACTAAGATGAAAAACCGAATGACTGAAGATGTTGATTGTCTCATCAGGAGACGTTGAATTTTTTAATGAGTTTCATTTATTCTTTTCATCAACTTCTGGAAGCCATTCATCAGTTTTACTGAATTGTAATCATTCATAAATTCATCACCCTAATATTTTCCTATTTCGTTACAATAGCTTCGGCGATTATAATACACGATACGTGAAGCTCAACAAGAGTCAACAAATTCACAAGTTGAAGAATTTCATTACACACAAGGATTAGTACACATAAAAAAAGGATAATCAGCGAGCGTCCTCAGTAATTAGGCCACATGATTGAACATGCACATTCACACATGAAAATCGAAAGGAATCATTAATCCCAATCAGGTATTTCGACTAAAAAAAAAACCCCAAATATTCACACTCATCACCACCGCCATTACCCATATAATTATTTATTTACAATTATTCTAGTCGACGATTGACAGTTTGTTTTCATTTCATCTAATTTTCAATCGTCGAATAAGTTGAATATTTCTTCGATCAACGCATTGACAATCCTATCGAAGTATTGAAAAAAATTGAATTGATATTGATTTATGATTTCGGTTCAGCACGGTAGAATGGTTTTCCTTTGATGGGTAAGACATGCGCTTCTGAATTAAAAACCCAGTCATCAAGGCTTATAAGATTATCATCACTGAATAGCAGATAAAGATACTGTGAACAAAAAGAAAAAAAAAACAAGTTAATAATTATCAACAATCATTTGAGTCGAGAGTAATTTAAAAAATGAATAAATTCGACGAAAATTTTGCCCAATTTCATCTAATCCTCTAGTTGTACTTTAAAATCCACTGGAATGTTGGCAGCAATGTCACGAATAATTACGACGACAGACTCATCCCGTAGAGTCCTAGCTCTAGCATACATTGAAAGCCCCATTGACAGGGTATGACCTGAATTAATGAAAATGGCCATATGGCTTATAGCCATTACAGGCTTACGACTGATTGTAGCCCTGTAGTACGAGAGAAAGAGAGATGGTGTCACTGAAAGGTGGACGACATAAAAGTTACATGGAATATGACGTATAACGAAAAATGCACTTCATCGGCTTTAGCTTTTAACGCCAGGCATAAAAGCTCATAGCTCTTGACGACCGATGGATGACGTTCAGGCCGATGTATATATTTTTTTATTTCTACGCCTCTTACTTCTACCCCTACCACCCCTTGTTCTTCATCGTGAAATCACAGTATTTTTTATGCTCTTATAGCTGTAAAACATTAACAGCTTCCTAGTTTCCACTGGATTTCACAAACGTGACATGAATTTATGCGTGAATTAATGAAACGATAACTCGAAATATCTTCAATTATTAAAGTGACTGACTGACTGACTGACTGACTGGCTGGCAAGCTGGCTCAAGCAGCACCGATGAGCTCACCTTATCAAGTATTGAAAGAAAGTCTTACGGCATATAGTTTTAAAAAATCTAATTTACCTTCAGTGTCTCGGCAAAGAAGTAACTCTGTTGTACGTCGTCCTTTGGTGAATCTAGCTGATACACATTAGTGAGTCCCGTGAATCCTGCTGGTACACGACAATGCTTTTCCAGCGCCTGTACGGCTTCCCAACCCCACTCTCGGTATTTAGGATCCTTGGTAAGCCGCCACATCACGAAGTACGACTCAAATGTCTACAAAAGTGAACGTCAAAATTGTAGCAAATATTTCGCATTCCAACTGTATATTTTGTTTATCATATGAATTTATTGTGAATGTTGTTGATGATATAGAGGAAAATTTTCATATTAATGCCAGTTGGGGATTGAATGAGATTATATAATAGTGAAAAATGCACTCATCGAGTGCGGGTTGCGAGTGATAAAAATACTTGCAACCATTCTCCCTTGTATTACTGATATCACTGATTGTACGAATGCTACTCAGTGATATGGGAATAAACAGAGAATTAAAAATAAAATCAAATAAAATATATACTTCAGGCCGAAGGATGTAATATTTTTCGCCACTTCTGAGGCTCCGTGCCTCGTTGCCCTCAATGAAGTGAAAGACCTCGGGTCCGAGTTTAGTTTGGGTCTTATTATAGGATTCGTGACAAGTATTTGTTAAACCTGCTGCAATCTCCATATATTTATTTGCCACTTGATTCTCTTTTGTTTTCGCTCCCAGTGAGAACATTCCACCTGAGAAAATTCAAAAGAATGTTTTGAAAAGTAAAATTTTCAATTTTATTATTTTTACTTGTTTATTATTATCATAAATTACCTGCAAAACAGGCTAGATGACCCATTTTATGCTCAGGTCTACCAAACTTCAAATCCATCAGGTACACCAATCCACTTGGCGATTTTCTAACCATATTTTTGACAACAGCCGCTATTGCTTCATCGTACATTTCACGCGCCTCTATATCCTCCTTTCCAGATTGAATCCACGCTTTTAGGAGGTATTCATAAAAACTATCGCCGAGTCCTCCCAGCGACATGTGATCTATACAAACGATAGGAATCTTTTTTTTTTTTTTTTTTTCACTTAAGAACTAATAGCCTAAGAAGACTCGAGAAGTCTGTCTATTATCCATCATCAAAGTGAAATGGAGTAATTGAAGAGGGTTTAAACCTAAAATGAAAAAAAAGAAGAAAAAAAAACGGGCAAAGTACTTACGTTGGCCCCACTTTCCAGTTCGTGGATTGATGTAATTTGGATAGAGTCCCTTTGGCTTTTCCAGACTTTTCAACACTTTTCTCACATTCTCCACTTTACTCCTGAACACTGGATTGCCAGTTATATCACTGAGATACGCAAATTCAAGATGCAAAGTGCCAATTTCAGAGAGAATGCTGCAGCCACTGCTTGCCCATGCGTAATTTCTACTCGCCTGTAAATTTACACAGTTAATTAAAAGGAGATAATCCAAAATTCATTTGAAATTAAATTAGGCAGGAGTAAAAAATTTTCATTGAACAATAATTAATATGAATGGAATATTAATCTGGGAAATTCATTAGTCATATATCCAATGGACGTTTCGTATGAGTAATTACATTGGCAAGTATTAATCATTCTGAAGCCCGATAATTCCAAAAAATAGAATTACTCTTTATTTTCTCAGAATTTTTATTCACATCAATTCAAATGAATAATCAGACTATAGATGATTGTTCATTATTAACGCCACGATACCAATTTCAGCGGTGTAAAGGAGATAGAGAGTAAAGTTACAGTATCTTGACTTACCCCAGTCTGCAGGTTGATGAGGGAATGCGGTATTCCAGTGTCCGTTTCAAACGCTGGTAGCATCCGTTCACCCAGCTGACGAGCCTTCTCTTTGAATAGCACATCACCAGTAAGGGCGTAGCACGATAAAAGACTACCCAAGAAACGGATGTTCGTTTCAAATAATGATACTTCCGAATTCTGAAATCACAATTAATGGAAGCTCAACTTTTGTGCATGCATTTCGTGAAACAATTTTATCATAATTTTCATCATTATCTTTTGCAGGACAATATAATTATTATTAATTATTGTGATGGAATATTATTATTCCCTTTCATTCGTATATTTTCAGTTTCATCTTCCATGGAAAAATAAACTCAGAGTATTGGAAATAATTATCAACGTGATTTGCTGAAAATGAAGAATTAAAGAGACAAAAAATGAAGCAGGAAAAATGGATACATTAATGAGTTCATGCTTCACTTTGAGTTTGTATTTTTCATTTTGCAAAGACAGCCCTTCGGAATAGAGCAAAACGGACTCCTCTTGCAATTCACACAGTCGTTCGTATACTATAGATATAGACCCTCGCGTCGGGCTCTTTCCCAGGGCTTCTAGCAAATATTTTTCGAAGCGCGCTCATTATAGCAATTCAACATTGCTAGTATATAGGCAACTGTAGGAAAGCTCTAATGGATATACAGTTATCCATATACGTCACCTATTTTGACGCAGAAAAGGATTTTTCGCTTGTTTGTTTGTTTGTTTATTTGGCAATCACGAATGGTTGATGGACAGTCTAATCGGGGGCAGCAAATTATTGGTGAGACAATTAGCAGCCACGCCTTCATACATTCAACGTCTATGTATTCTTCCCATTTTCCCGTTCGCCCTTACTCTCTTTCCCCTCCCCCTGCCCCTTTGTAACTACCAGTTAATTAGGAAATTGAAGTTGACTCGTGAACCATGAAAATTGCTGGCCCATGTTTGCCCTTTTTCTTCTTATTTACCCTGCGCATACTTTTTATAAAAAATTAATACTTGGTAAACACTTATACAGTGAATCAATAATTGTCTTTCTGATGCAAAATAGATGCTCGAGAGGAAATTGATTTTTTTTTTAAAACATTATAAAATTCCAAACTTTTATTTAGCTTAGTTTAACATTAATTGCATTGTTTTTCATTGAAGGAGAATATTGTTAATTTGAGAATTGGCCTTTCGCTCTGTGTAATTGAAATATCCAGCTGGCATGTGTTATCGGCAGTATACATCGAACATATAGTACGTATGAGTGTATTTTGTAAAGCCGTCGAAATGTAGCACCAGCCGAGATAATTCTTGTGATACACCTGAGGCTAACCGAAAGAGCTTATGTACGTTTTGAATTAATACATGCGAGGTATGAAGATAGTAGATGAGAGGGAGGGGAACGGAGGGTGGTCAGTATATGTAATGCATATAAAGCCCGCATGAGCCTTAACTATAGCTGTAGTGGTTGGCGTTTCATACACTAATGGTGTACTCTAAGTAAAAGTGTAAGCTTCGCGACAATTACCGCGCGGTTGGATATTCAATATGCCTCCTCTACTGGAGGCACCCCTTTTTCCCACCTCCGCTTGAAAATTAATTTATCACACTTTCACTATTTATTAATGGGACATTATCATCTCTAATAGTTCATTTTCTATTTTCATTCTGCAAGTTTTAATCATAAATGAATAAATCAAGAGATAAGTTGACAATTTTATTTTTTTTTAATGAAAAAACAGCGAGTCTCTAGGGAGTGTATAATATTGCAAATGTGAATGACAGAATTTCCTGGGAATATTGCGCAGAGGGAGCAATAGGATCACCGTGGAAGAGAACTCCTGGGCGAGAAGTGTAAAACAGAGTATCAAAGGAAAAAGTATTCAGGTTCGCTAATGAGCAGCGCAAGTGACGCATAATTTTCTAATTAGTTAATGAATCATTTTCTTCTGTTGGCTTATATTTTATGAAAAGGTTCAATAATTATAAAGTTGTTGGTGTACTTGAAAATTCCACCTCGTTAATTTCTGCACAAAAGAAAAAGAAATATTCTCAAATTGAAAATATTTGTTTGTCTTTATTTCGTGTGACAACTCGATAAGATTGGAGATTTCAAGAAAATAATTTCAAAAAAAAGTTAACGATGGAAAGCATTTTTTTTTAATTTATAAAATTCATTTGTGTATGCTAATTTTATACAAAATTGTCCGGTCTCAGTCTACAATAAGAGCAAAAATCCTTGCATTATGAGAAATATTTTCAATGTATGTACAATTTTAATACTCAACTGAATGATATTTAATTAAATTCACCCTCACTGAATCCATTATATGTTGTTTTCAATTTTCTATAAATATGCACTTATTGATCGACCGACCAAGCATTTCGGATTAATAAATTCACATTTGGAAAATGGAAATTAACGACTATATCAGATAACCTAGCCATAAATAAAAGCGCCAATCCGTGTCTCTATCTCATACGTCCTACTGAAACCATACATCCGGCGAGAAAATTGCAAAATATTACCGCAGCTCCCACCTGCTGTAATAGTAGCGATTTTTCCTAATACTGCCGAGGTTTTCGATGCCAGAGATTGTCGCCGGAGTGAAGAAGAAAGACACAGTCCAAAATGTAAAGAAAGATGGGGGTAAAAAATGAAAGGAAAACAATTCTATTAAAATGACTATCTATATACTGTTATACTGTTATCAATTTAAGAGAGATTCTTGATTTGAGGATCATCAATTTTCTTAAATAAACATGTAGCGTTAAAAACAAAAAAAAACAACTTTAAATTCATTTAATTTGTTCAGCTCTATAAATTCGACTTGCTTTATCCTTTCTCTGATAGCTGGAATATTTTAGCTGTTCCATCACGTTTCTCTTGATTCTTTTTCTTTTTCTTTTTTTCTCATCTTCAGCTACTGAAAGACCTATAATCTCGAAAAATCTTGGTTTTTGTCATGGCTATCAGTGCGAGTGAACCATGACTCTCAAGTGTTGAATTGTTTCAACGTGAAAACCGTGCTTTTTTTTTTACTTTGAGAAGCGGCTTTATCCAGGAGAGGTAAAGGTGCGCAGCCGGGGGAATATGCGAGGCAAGTTGGAAGGAGCCAGAGAAACCAAGATAAAGGAATCAGGTCGGGGTGAGATGTGCATGGGAATTATCGTGGTAATGCACGACCTGGGAGGCCCGTTGGCGAAGAATGGAAGCAAGGGGGCTGAGCCAATGGTGAAGAGGGCGTAAAAGAAAGAATAAGAGCTTCGGTGGAGAAGAGTGCGCAGGCACGTTAAAACGAGAAGGTGCCCAGTGATCGTTAAAGAAAACGTTAATCCTGACAAGGAGACCATTACCTCTAACTCCATTGTTTTATTTTTTCTCATTTTGTTCATGTTTTCATTTCAACATCACAAGTGATGAATGAAATCTAGTGGGGAGACTGGATGATTTCAGTGGTAAATACACGCCTCGAGGAAAATGGCTGTTGAGAGACTATCTCAATCAGCACACATCTCAGGGGTAGTGTTCTGCATGGGGGAAAGCTACCAAAGTGATGTATTTATCCATGGGGAGGAGTATCCATTTCCTCATTCCTGCTGTTGTAGAGTAGAACCAATAATACTTTTCATTACTGATTTGGATCGTTCAATAAACATGGCTTATCATTAAATAATTCCTAAAATGTGTAACAACATTTCGCCAATTCCATTGGGATAAAAAAATCTTTTTAGTGACGAATATACATTGATCAAAGAGAAACAACAAGGAAACAGGTAAGAACGCTATCCACCTCTGTACTTGACATAGCTTATATTCAACCGCGACTTGAATTATATATCAACGAACAATGTAACGAGAGCGCAATAATACCGTTCCTCGAGAAGCGCAGTGGAAACTAGAGAAAAAAAAAACATGGTGAAGTGAAACGAATCAAAAGGGTTATGGTAGTACGAAGCAAACATCTTCGCACGACTTAGTGAGAGTTTATGAGTGGGAGTGGGAGCAGAAGGGTGCACCGGGGGGATATCTTAAAGCGCAATAACCAAGAAAGTCTTTGGAATCTATTCTTCCATCCTTTTCGCTCGTTCACACATTTACCAACTCTTTTTTTCTTTTAAAAAGGTGTGTTTGTATGTGTGTGTGTGTGTGTTTTTTTTTCTCCCCATCCGTTTCTGTATTTCAACTCCTGTTTTCCACTATGCACCTACCGAAACCTTTACAGAAGCTTTGAAATCCGCAGTAAAGACCGTCAAGGCGGAAGTTGAGTTTTGAGAAAGAAAAAAAAGTTTGTAAAGAAAGAAAAGAGAAAAAAGGCCAAGAAACAAAGAGAGAAAAAATGAAGAATGAGTCTCCTTGGTCAACGAGTTACTCGCCAAGTTTTTCAACGTTAGCCTTTAATTTCACCCACGGGGTTTAAACCTTGACAGCTCTTCCTTTATCCCATTCTATACTACTGTCACGCTACACATAAAATAGGATTACAGTAGTATTATGAATGAACGTGGCTTAAATATAATAAATAAAAACACAAGATAACATAATTGAAGGGACATAATGATAATGATAATGTACAGATATTCAGGTTCCTAATCGTTTTCACCTATAATATGCTGTTAATTTAGCTGGATGAGTGCATGGGTTTACCAGATGGTGTGTTAAAAGGTACTAGACCTGCCTGTACGTGCCAGCTTCGCTAGGAGGTATTGAAAGCCTTGGTTTTAGACTTTCCTCTGCTACTGGCTACAGTTCAGGCCACGTCTGACCTCTCTCAACCTCACAAGCCCCAAAGGTCCTCTGTCGGGGGAGGGGAGGGGGACAAAGTAGGGAATTTATTTCATCGGGTTTTCCATAAAAAAGATATGTGTTGGGGGTTTTAGTCATACTGTAAGAGTGTTTCTGACATTTTTGTTAGTTTTCAGTTTTTAGTATTTATGTATCAGGGGTACTATGCAAATTCATGGCGAATCGTGGGAGGGACTTGTTGCAATCACAATACAGAGAGATTAGATTTTTTTTTTTTTTGAGTAAGTTGAATTTTTCAGAAAATTTAAAAATATAGGCAAATAATAATTTGTCCAAGTGACAAAAAAATTGTCACAGGTTGAGAGCGTGGTGATGCACATGAGTAAGCCATAATGTAATCGTGATAATATGAAATACATTAATCTACGTAATCTTATTTCATATCCAGCTTGTCAGTTTTAATAGTGAGGCTCGTCTTTGTCAGAATTTTTTACCTCCCTGAGGAATGAACTGGCTCTATGGTAGAGGATGGATTCCCATTTAAGTGGCCTTCACCCCCTCGAATTCCACATAACATAGGAGCTGTTAGCTTTGTTCACAAGCGACTCTAATTCATCCTGAATTGTCTCCTCTCTCCCCAAAAAAAGTGTCGGTAAGTTTTGTTGCCTTTGTCGTTGCTTTGTTTTCCTCATTTTTGATGAAACAACAGCGCTCATGCATCATTCTCGGTGGGAAGAAATTGTACAACAGCAGACAAAAAAAATTCAACACAATTTTTTTTGTAGCCACTGATGAGAGAGGAGATGTAAAAATTCCGAGTAAATCCTCTCAGTACAAAAATTCTCTGGAAGTATATCTCTTGAGCTTGAACGGTAATTGGATATTGCACTCAAGTTTTCCATGGCTGAGAAAATGTGCGTGTAAGTTTGACAGATAGTCCATTCTAACACTGTCGAACTTTACGCACATATTCTCGAAGCAAGGAAACTCGGAAAACCTCCGATAATCTCCAGGCTTTCGAGGTATTACAACTGATAATTGTATAGTTACTACGAAAATTGAGTAGTAAATTCCATCAGTGTAATAGCTAAAGGGAGACTACTCCCGTGTGTATTCACTTATTATTGAATTGAGGATCATCATGTCTCCCCTATATTCCTTATGTGCCAAAACCGATCATTAATGTAAAAAAACTCATTAAACTTATTCAATGTTTTAAATAGACAGCATTTTCAAATTTCTCTTCAAATTTTTCAAATCATGTGAAATCCTAATCGTTTGATCAGGAATTATTGCGCATAGTCACTGGATTTATTTTCATATAAAAAAGCGAAAATATGTTATTTTGGAGGTAAAAGAAAGTAGTTTAATCCAAAAATTGGGTACACTGGGCCAATTTTTTTCGATTACATCATTTTATTCTTTTAGACGGCTAATAAACGGACAATAAACAATGAGTTGTTTTACACTAATGATTATTATTTAGATATCGGGAATATATAGAACAAACATCTGGACATTTTCACTGCAATAAACAATCAATGATGTTGAAAACTCTCCGGAGTCTTCTATTAAAAAGCTCGAGAAGAGGGCAGCCTGGAAAAGGGTTCTCTTCATTGAAAATGTCATAATAGATCTTGAGAATTGGTAAAGTTATTGAGTTATACACTTGCAACGGAGCAACTAAGGCAATAGTTTTAATACATAGATCCTACTCTGAAAAGTTTATTTTTAAATTTATTTCACTGGGTGGAACATCCCTGGGAAAGAATGGACTAGATGGTATGTAGGGCGTATTGCATAGATTAAAAAAAAAAAATTACTGCTAGGTACTTTTAATTCAATTTTCTTGTGGTGCAGAATTTTTGGATAACCACATCATATTATTTTGGGAGAAATTCAATTATTAAATTGATACATAAAAGAAGGGCTGCAGTGCTCCATAATCAGCTTTAGAAATTAACAAAAAAAATTCTACACAGCTGAATAAAACTTTAGCCCGTATCATCAGAAAATGTTGGCGCACAATTCAAATCATACATGTAGTTAATGGCCATATTTATTATACATAATACCGATTTTAATATACTAGAAAAATAGATCATGAATGACTGGGAAGACTTTGAAAGTGCAAATCCTCACTGTGTAATCTTGTAATTTTTCCCTCCTATCTGTAATCTATTTAGTTTCAAATCTCTACTTTGTGTTATTGTACGCTAGATAGTGGTAGATATATAAACCCCTGTCTAGTCTGTCCGGTCGTGTTAATCCCTGAACATTGCCCCATTCGTTCACACTTAGTCATGCTCACAAAGAAAAAAAAAAGTAGGCTTTTGAAATCGATCGAGTTCAATATGTTGCATCGTACACACAAGTTGTACCAAATAACAGTCACATCAGCCATTGCTCATCGTACTAAATTTTTTTTTTTTTAAGTAAAAAAAAATCACCAGCACGAAAGAATAGAGTTGGGAAGAGAAGCATAATAACGAAGAAATCCGATTCACCAATCTAGTTTGAGGTTTTAAAATGAGTTTGAAGGTAAATTGGGAAAAGCTTTCGCGGCATCTGTCGTCCTTACGACATCCTCATGGTGTGTCAACGTGAAATTTTCCCACTACTTGCACTGTCAACCGAACACTGTTACCCTTATGCTATCCTGCATAAAGCCTAGCCCTAATACGACAAGTTATCCACTTGGAAATCCCCTTTAATGCTGGAGCCTCTACCTACCAACTTCGGATACACCGAGCAGTTGAGTTTCAGGTGGTGGATAGAGGGATATTATATGCGGCGGTATGCTAACTGCAGCTTGGCTACTTTGGCTAAAGAAAAAGGCTAGTTATAATCCAGGTAGGATTGGTTTCCAGTGCCTAGTGAAATTCCCCCGAGTATGGCACGTTGTGTGTGTGTTTGTGAATGACTCGCGGGCTTTGTCGAGTAAACTTATACATATAGCATCATTAATATACATAATAGTTTTGTTAGTTATAATAACAAGTTGTGAGTTTATGGAATTGAGTTATTTTCGTCTTGGGTGTTTCATGTGCCATTAGAATTCACTATTAATTTTAATAATTAATTCACTGTGCGTGCATGACAATGAGCTGGGCTGGAAAATTACATCTCTCCCATGTAACAAAAATGCATTGTGGCATTGTGTAAAATGAAATTAACTTTTTTTTTGTTTTTGGACTTACAATATCAAAGTCAAGTTTCTTAGCTATCCACGCTTTGCTTTCGTTGAATTCTTCCTTCAGTCCCATGATATAGAGTGTATCGAGAGCATCGACAATAGTGGCACCCATGGCAGATGTACCAAAGATGCTGGCAGTGTGTCCCTTCATTGATAAAGGTCTAAGCTCATTCTGGCCCCAGGCATATCTGACGTAGTGTTTCCACCCATGCAGCATCATCTGAAAAACAATAAATAAATGGATAAATTTAAGATGTATTGCATTGTCTGCGTCCATGTGCTTTGCTTACATAAAAATTCTCGGCTCTCTTAAAATACAACTGAGAGATAATTAAATGGTCAATGCAGAGATAGGGGGAAAAATAGTATGTCGAATTTCGCAGAGAGTGTGTTATCTTTCAATGAAAATTCAGTGAGGAAGAAAGGCCAAAGTGAGTCGTAGACTGGTGAGAATGGGTTCGAGAATGTTTCGACAAGATCAACTTTGTAGAGGTGTCGGATGAAAGCCACGAAACTTGCACTTCATCCCCTTCCAACCTACTGCCGTATACCGGTAGTAGTTTTCAAGTACTTTGAACATTTACATTCGTTGTTTTCCCCCTCAAATGCTTCGAGTACGCGAATGCATGCCACCTTTATTTTCAAAGTCTTGTCACGTGAAAGCTATGATAATTGTTCTTGAAATTCTGGCGCTATGTCTGGCAAAGTAATCAGCGTTTTACGACAACAAACGAAAAACTAATTATTGTGTTAATAATTGAACATTGCTTTTCACACAGAGTTGGGAATTTTATGAAATTGAGAATTCAAGAATTATTTTTACTGTCTAATAAATTGAAGAAATTGGAGCGATTTCAAGTGATGTAATTTGGAATAAAATTAAGAAAAAAAACAGCCTTTGAATCCAATCTCCATCTTCTCAACAAGGGAAAATTGTTTCGAGAAATTCCTTCGCTCTGTGTATTTATTGTTTTGGTTTGCATCATGTGACTACCTCCACTGAGAGAGAGAGAGAGAGAGAGAGAGAGAGAGAGAGAGAGAGAGAGAGGTGTGAGATATAGCAGTATGTATGTGATGGTGAAAGTTTCGGATTGTAATGCGGTGGAAAAAGGAAAAACCTGAGCTTTTTATCAAAGCTCAGTAGTGAATATATATTCACAAAGGGGGTAAAAAATAGAGTAGTGCTACCGCTCCTCGCTGCTTTGACCTTTGTACTTTTATTCAATCTAGAGTATAATTAATTCCTTCCGAAAAGATTCACCAGACAAGTATCACATTGACGTGATTGTTCTCAGGATCTTTGTTCACTTTCTTTACCAAAGAGAATCCTTTTTTTTTCTCTCTTCCCTCTTTTCTGTATCGCTGTCTCCTCCAGGGTCGGGGCCAAACCGTTCATCTCATTATTCCGCATACTCACCAGGGAATGTATATATCCAACCACTGATGCTAATGGGAAAGACAGAGAGAGCATCTGCATCTTGATTCTACTAGGTCCAATTTTTCTTGTTCGCTAAGCGGAAAATTGCATTGACTTTTTTCGGTACCCATGAGGGGGCAAAGGCGTTGTATGAAACTTGAATGAAGGTGTATACATGGAAAAAAAAAAGAAAAAAAAAGAAGGACGTCTGAGGATTATATTGAGGTAGGCGATAGGACTGTCATCATTTTTACGGTAGGATGCTTCAAGATTGTAGTCGCTGCTTTATTCATTGAAATTTCGGGAGAAAGAATGAATAAGTGAAATGAGATTTTTCATCAAGCAATAATTGTTGAGTTGTTTGAAAAATAAAATATGAAAAGCTTGTCAATAATAATGACATATTGACAAGTGAAGTATGGGATTCATTGGTTGAAATTTACAAGTCCAATGTTCTGACACGTATTAGCGTGGCACGATATATGTCATGTTATATGTATGCTGGGGTAAAGTGGCCGACGCCAGTATTGTTCATCATCCTCCTGACGTTGGCTCAGTTAATGCTTGAAAAGCGAGCAGCTTCCTCACCCACAGTTGTGTACCAAGTGAAGCCTCGCTAAACTGTCTACATAAACGCCGCGGTCCATCATCATCATCACGGTGTGGTTCTATACATCTACAGGAATCCTCCTCCTCCTTGGGGTTTGGCTCAACATCCAGCATCGTCAACTGCGTCCATAATTACCGCTTTGTTTATCATTGTGAGAGGCGTGAGGCATTGTGTTCAAGAAGGGCTTCACCCAGCTTCTAATAGTGTGAATTAATCTTTGCTTAAGCGATGGTGGGAACTACTGACACTGACGCCGACTCTCCCACCAGACGTATAAACCCATGCAGGCTGGTTGAATGCATTAGACCTTCAATCCTATTCTATACCATACTTATCATACATATACCTATACTACATGCCTCCACACATATATGTATATCACTCAGTCATAGAGTGTGAAATCCCCCACTCTATGCCCTCAGCGTTTTGCTGTTCGCACAGACATGACACCTCTTTCGTCGTGTTCCTGTAACTAGCATTTCATTATGAAAAGCTCGTTTTCCATTGTGCAGACACCTCTGTCGTTGTCGTCGGTGCGAGAAAGCGCTAGACAATGAGAGACGTTTTGCAGGGGCCACTGAATTCTCTCGGTTGTCTCTCCAAAGAACCAAGAGAGAAGGTAAATTATGGACAAAAAAAAGTACGTCTCGGGCGAGAAGAATTGTTCCTGAGATTATTGGAAGGACAGATATCGTGAGATTAAGTTTACCCAAGGGGGCGGGTGGGTGTCATTCAAATGATTTAGCGCAGTGGAATTTCACTACTGCTATTATATGCCACTCATCGAAAATACAAGAAGATTATTATAAGAATCATGGCGTTGATGATTAATTTCAGATGGAGCATTTCCTGAAAGACAGTTTTAATGTAATATAGTGCTTTTCAGCATGCAAATAATAATGAAATATTGATTGATTAGATAGAATAGCCGTATAATTCGTCATAGTCCTCTCTAATAACTGCTGAGCAAGCCCCTGAAAATTAACATTTTCTTTATAAATCATAATAGAGGCAACTATAATGATTAAAATTAATCATTATAGTTTCTAGTTGACAATTTCAACTTGTAAAAGTTGGCCGCCGGCGGTATGGTGGGTAGTAAGTTGATATAGGATAAATGATGGAGCCAGTATACTATTCTAACAGAATAATAGTCGGTGCTTGGAATAGAGTGAAATGTTGTACACCAGTAACTCTAATGATAACAGCATTTGTGTTCATCAATGTCCATCAAAATTCTGAAATTGAAACAAATGAGCTGCTCACGCAAATGGTGTACTATAATTATGATTCAGTTGACGATAAAACAATGATATTCCGTGAGAGAAAAATTGATTATTAACAAACCTCTTTGACTTTTTCTCGCCGCTGATTAGTAACATCATCCAATGGAGGATTGGGTGATCCAACGAAATAAGTAATTGGTTCAGCTCTGGGTTTAGGTACAACAGCTGACTCTTGTGCCAAATAATCGGCTGGTCTGTGTCTCACATTGACCGGACGTTTGTCCTTGATTTCATTCATCTTATCATCCTGCTTAGAAATTGAATTGTCGGGGACCCAAGCAGGATTAACCTGGTCGGATCTCTCTCCAGGGCCAGCCCCTCGGTCTACAACAGTTGCTAGATCTCGCCTGGTTATAAATGTTCCAGTTAAGAGGACAATTAACACCACGGATGCGAGACCGCTGACTGCTAGCCTCTGTATGAGTCGCATTTCCACAACACTTTGTAGTGTCCACCTGTCCTGACCCGGTGTGTCGTTTTGGACACTCGTTATGCCGGCTTTTTATCACCTCCAGATAATTACTATTATTAGCAATGATGAAGAATATTTGTTGATATTAATACTGGATTTTTTCTCACAATTGTAATTATATACACGCCCGATTGGATAATCTTTTTTTCATTCGTAATTGAAGCGTAATTGGAAATATTATAATTCGTTTTTAGTATAGCTCCTTCAGTGCTTGCAGGCCTGTCTCCTTGAATTTTCCATCAGAAAGCGTAGAAATATCTGAAATACATGATTCTCCTATTTTAAATATGTCACAAGGCTTTTATCCTACCACTTTGGGAGCTGTCAATTGTCATGTGTAAGTCTTCACCACTCTATACCACTTGATGTATCGTCAGTTGACTACTTATTTTTTCTATATCTGTATAACTTGAGAGTTATTATAATGAGGTAAGCATATCGTTGACAATAGCCGATTTTTCAATGCCCAATTGAGAATAATTCGCTATTTTATTATGTCTGAAAAGTAATAAATAAAACAAAAAGTAAAGGAATAAGTTGGAATAGTTCTCGATATATCTTGAGAAGCGTATTGGAATAAAAGTTGTGGAATTTTATAAGTTTTTCAATTAAAAGTATTCCGAGATTTATGGAGAAATGTGCGGAGAATTGTTGCCCCTACGTTTCTGAAGTGAATCGTAATATCAATTCAACTGGAAAGTTGAAAAAAAAAAAGAGAGAGAGAGAGAGAGAGAGAGAAGAAGATGGGTTATGATCATTATCGATGCTTCGGTTGGAAGAATTTCTATGGCACTCCATGGTAAAATTCCTACTGCAGTTTAATATCATCCAGTATCTATACACAGAGAGATGAATAGACGAAATTGAGAAGAGAATTTTCTCACTCCAGAAACGTACGCATCCGTGCAACACGGATTTTCATTTTCAACTGTTTTTTTTCTTTTTTCCATTGGTGATTGAAAAATAGTGCAAATCTTTCTTCGATAAAATCGATGAAAATGCAGGATGGGGAATTTCCGACTGAAACATGAAAAGAGAGCTCGAGGTATCATCGCGGGATGTGCAAGAAGATCAACGTATCTTCACAATCACCCTTGAGTCTCGTTTCCACGGGATGCTGACCACATCAGCTCGTGAGAATCCGTCTTCAGGGGGCGATAATGCGGATTGAACTCAAACTAAAGGAGGGAAACTCACGAAAAGTAAGGAGACTGTGAAGTTCTTTATCCATCAAAAATAAAGTGGAAAACTTATTTTATTTTGTTTTCAAAGTTTAAAGTTTTTGAATGAAAAAATTATACTTCTCAAGTTACCTACAATGATTTCTTTGAAACACGGACGTGTTGAGAAAAAACACTCCTCAACTCTATCATATCGGACTATCATCTCATATACATATAGGAGCAAGAAAATTTTTAATAATAAAATGAATAGTCTATGGTCACGCAAAGGGTCAATGGATGCACGAAAGGGAATTTAGTGCATTGCGAGAAATTCAATAAATGGGAGGAATATATACGGGACTGCAATCATCGCACAAATTGAAAGAAATTTCACCAGCGAAAATTCTCTAATAATTTTCTCCTGAATAGCATATTAAGGATATTGAAGATTTCAAACATCAAACTAAATAATTTAGTATAGTACATTGAATGAAGTTTCAGAGAACGAATGAATTGAAATCAAATTATATAATGCATTATTGAATTTAGAAAGTAGGCTATTTAATTATTTTTCCATTGCCCGTAAATTATCCGCTCAATATGGATGGATACATTGTTCGTGCAATTTCAAACCATCAAATCGTTTGGAATAAATGTATCCAACTGAAACGAATATATACGTTCCTGATAAATTTCAATAAAACCATATAATTACATTATATTCATGGATTTTCAATGAAACCACTCATTTAATTCCGTTGAATAATTTTTCTGGCTACGGCAATTGTACTATACATATGATTCGATGTGGTCATACGCAAGCCAAGGAAACACCATATTCTCTTTTCATTTTACTGATTTTAATTCACTAAGTAAAACAGATTGCAAAACAGCTCGATATGACAAAATGTTCTTGAACGAAAAATATTAATTTCACACTTTTTACATGGATTCTCACTAATCGAAATTTTTTACTCATCTATTTGGATGCAAATATAACATCGAGGTCATGTACAACTTCCAAGACTTGTGTTTTGGTATCGGATGGAGTTCAATTGGCAGAATGAAGGGCTCATCTACAGCCACTCAACTCTAGTTTTCGACCACGAGTCAGAATTCAGAGGGAGCACCAATTTCTCGTATACGCAGAGACTAGTGGGGCGCGGGAGGGGAAGGGGGGGGGATTGTGCCATCCCTCGAGTTGCTGGGTTTCCGGCATTTGGAATTTTGCTAACGGGCAAAACTTTGTCGTACCCAAGTCGTGGAAGGAGAGGGATGTGTTTGTTGGACCAAGAGAAGCCGAGAGAAGTGTTCCACGCCTTGGGAGCAAACGAGTGGCTAGGGGCGGAGGAGGGGCGGGGGAGAGAGCCCACCCAAGACGGATGACGAGGGATAGGTCGACTGGTTGGTTTGCACTGTGACTAGTCTGGCAAACTCATACGTTAGTTTGGTAACCTGGAGGTGACAACCTGGAGACTTCAGGCGTCAAACATGTCTCTGAACTTGTGAGGGAAGCAGACCGTGTTGATTTGGCATTCATTATATGTCCGGGCGTAAAGTTGCTGGTGTATGTTCATTAAGAATGAGAAAATGTCAAGGCTCTCGTGGATTTTAGTTGAAAGCGAAGAAAATCCCCATGAATTGAGAATACGGGTTTGACAACTTGCAAGGTTTACAGAGTACTATTTTTCATGCCACATCAAAGACACTACTTGATCTTGTTAATTTAAAAAAATTATTTTCTCCTCTCTATTTCAGTTGTGCAAAATTATAAAATATCGTCATATTATACGTCTCCTTGGGAGATTATGACGAGACCGCGTGATGTCACCCAGTACTCGTGTAAGCTTATGTTTAATGCCCCAAGCGAGTTATTGGGCTTTATTAGTGACAGACCAAGTTTTTATGCAAACGGCACACATAAAATAAAGGACCAGCAGTGTTAAAGTTCTGGAGAACCTCAGCTGTTGTCAATAGCGAATAACAGTTTGTAACATAACGCTATAGGGTCTTTCGGTTATTCTTAAACAAAAACATTCACAATTTGTTTGACATTTTTGGGGTGAACTCGGAATTTTGGAATAAAGAAAATGAAAAAATAGCACATCAGTGATATTTCTCCGTCCGCTTATTATTCTTTTTTTTTAAATCAAATGATGAGAAAAAATAATCACCCAGAATAACATAAAGTGTAAGAAGAAAAAAACACCAAAAATATTCCAATGATATGCCTTTTCCTCATTTCATGGCGTCAAGTCTCATGTCCCATTGACCGTTTGAATTTATGTGCGTGATAAGAGCCAATTGGATCGTTTTCCTTGACAAAGGATCGCTTACAAAGTCCAAGCACTTCCCCAACCTTTTATTTTTTTCACCTTTTTTTCATTAATTTTCCTCTTACGCTGCAGTTTTCGTTGTTTTCTTTCTAATGTTTCGCAACGACTCCACCTTCATTCATAGTAATTCCCGTCACGAACTCACCCAGGTACTTTATATCCTCGACGACAGACACGTTTCCTCCGGTGAAGCGTGGTTGGTACAAGTCCCCAAGAATCGACAGAGTCAATTCACTATTCTTTTTTTTCCATCTGTGCTGTGCTGTGCTGTGTGCTCTCTTTTTAGATACAAATCTCCAACACCTGAGTGATGCCGGCATTGTCAATCTAAGAATAGAACTATTGCGAGTAAATGGCTCAATCATCGATGATCTTTTCCGTGCTCCAACCTATTGGGGGGAAAAAGGCCACACCAGTGTGTATGGATGTAGCTTGGCAAGCCACTTTGAAGTAATCATTCCAATGGGAAGGAATTTAAAGGCATTCTGAGTTTTTGTGTGTGGAATAACTTGAGAAATCGAAGGAACGCAACCTGTTGGCTGCCACATGGCAATTCGCAATACGATCAATTCCCTTGGGTGCTTCTACGCTTTCCGATCAGTTGCACTCGAGATGGCAGAGAAGATAAGAGGGTAGAGAAAGCAAAATGAGGAGGGAGGGAGAAAAAGGTAACAAATAGTAGTGGAGAAAAAAAGATGGAGAATGAGAAAGAATTGAGAGGAATGAGAATAAGTTAGCCATTGGTTTGCCACGGTATGCCAGGCAAAGATCAGGTAAAGATCGATGAATCGCTTTTGGTTAAAGTCTTTTGCCGGGCCATTTGACCTCAATGACGTTCATTAATCCGTTGAGTCGTTGCACTCGTCTAAAATACAGCGCAAAGTATCATGCCAAACATTCGCCTTTTCTTCCTCTTGAGTTGATTTCAATACTGGGAAAAATCATATATTTGAAAAACTATTTTTGGATTGAGGGGACAATTACTTTCAACACGTTTACCTCTCACATAATGAAAGCACTTCTTCAGACATGTATTCTTCTGGTACTTCAGAATAATACTTGGAGGTAATTTAAAGGAATTCTAAATCAAAATTATGGGTGATAGAAGCAAGAAGAGTCAACGATGCCAAGTGGGTCATTATTCCAAGTGGACCTTTTCGAATGGACTGCGAATGTATATATATAGTTCCAAATAAGTGATCTTCACCAACTTTATAGTCTGAGACGAGAAATATATGCCTCTTAAAAGTTGGAGTAGAGAAGAAAATTATAGTAGGTTTAATTACTCTGTAAAGATTTAAAGTATTCTTAGAGGTGAATCTATATCTGATAGGAATCAATGTAATGTATCTATTACAATTACTATTACAATCCAAATACACCGTAAAAATAGAAAATTTTGTAGAAATACGGACATATAAGTGAAATATAGGACAACGATGCTGTGATGGAAGCCAAGGGAATATACGTATAGTTGACGTTGGCTTCCAGCAAGGGCTCTGTATATTGAATTACGCAGCGATCAATCGTTCACAATTTGCCATCACTGGCGTACATAAATCATTGGGAACTATTGATTGAACAAAATACCACTGATTTCGCATGGCGACCCAGCGTGCAAAGAAAATACGGATTTTCTGTTTATGCGGCAAGTTTTTGGTAAATGCAAAAATAAGACTAATCAAATAATTGGATTTGGCAGATCTTTTCAGCGGTTAACTGATCAAATTTTAATATTTTTGTTATCCACGACGGCACA